TGGGCAACCTTGAAACATGCTGCATTCCCAATCCCCTGCCTTTGGTCCTGCCTCTGCCTTGGCTTAAAAAACGCAGCCTACACCCTCCCCACCACCCGGAGATTGCCAGATGCCCTTCTATCTCACTAATAAAGCGTGACTCAACTCCACTGAGGTCTCTGTTCTTTCCAGTCTTTTCCTAACATTTGGTGCGGAAACTGGGAGGAGTCTCCCATGGGGATTTCATTCCCTGGTGGAGTCTCCTTCTATGGGACTCTTCTCCCCAAGCCCTCCTGCTGCAAGCTGGCCTCACTCCCAAGTGCCAGCTTGCCTCCTCCCTTCTCCCTCCTTGCTTTCTCCTTTCACTATCGGTTTCTCTCCTTTATCTCCATGGTCCAAGGTGAGAGCTTGTCGTTGGCTCCTCCAGCTTACTTTGACCAAACAGCAACTGGACGATTCTGCTCTCCTTGCCTGAGTCATGTAAAGGAGGCTAGATCTTGACTAGATCTATATTGGCTCAACGAGTAAACTCACCTGGCACTCCACCCTCCGACCTTGCCCCTCCTCACTTTTCTCCTGTTCCACCCTTATAGATCTCTGAGTTGAAGCTGCTTGCCAACCGATCACACCCACCACCGGCCCATTTCCTGGTGAGCACAGAGGTAAGAATCCTGTCTCTCTCAGAGGTACCCCATGAGTGAGATTCCTTTCTTTACTCGGAGATCTATTAAATGCTGTTTTCCTCAATATGGATTATATATTTTCATTTCCTTGTACATCTCATAATTATTTCTTTTAAAAACTAGACATATTAAATAATATACAGAAGTGAGTCTGGACTCTGACATTTTTAAAAACTTTTTGAAGGTTATTATTGCTGTGGAGTTTTTTGTTTATTTAGTAAGTTGCCTGGGCAATATTTGTGAAATTTTTCTCCTCTGGCATTTGCATGTGTTGTTTCTGCTTAGCTAAAAAGTATACCCACACACATACACACACGTATATAAACTATATTTTAGATATTAGTTATTATTAATATATATTAGTGTATGTATTTATACTATATACTATAACTATATTATATATAATATATAATATAACTATAACTATATTTTTTCCAGAAGTCTTAAAAATGTATAATAAAAGCTTTAATGTATGATAAAGTTAAAGTTGATTATAATCTAAGAGTTGCCTAAAAGATTTTTTTAGGGTCATGTCAGACTAAAACCTGATTCTTTATGTCCATAAAATAACAAGGCTATCTTTTATATTGCTCTGCTCTAAATAACATCTGTAAAAAAAAAACTTCTGGAAAAAATCTTATCAAAGTAATTACTTGTATTTTCTGTTGATCTTGTCAAGCTTTAAATACTACTAAATCAGAGTTCATTTATGTATTTATTTATGCAAAAGACTCTTAAATGACCACCTTATGTGTTTGATGTCTAGACTTTATCTAAAGATTGTACAAACATTTTCAAAGTTAAAAGTGTCAATTTAATATTTGTAAAATGACCAGCTAAAGCTCTCTTCTACCCAACAGCCTTCCATCTAAACCTTTACATATAAAATGGTTAATAAAACTTTCGGCAGTTCTGCTATTTGTAATCAGTAACATTGAGAAACAACCTGACATTTGGGCAATCCTGCTACTTAAAACCTGGCCTATATTAGTTTTAGTTAAGTAAGTGTTACTGTATATGTATGAAATGTACTTGTACATCAAAAATAAGGGTATTTGGGATCACAAGCATTGTTTCCCTAACTTAAAGAGATCTAAAGTTAACAATGCTAGACTTTGCAAGCTTGTGTCCATGTGTTCCTAATTATAACAAGAAGCACCTGGTGCTGCTGTCACTCATAATTATTTTCCTAAAAATGAGGTCTACAATGGAAATAACTAAATGTTCTCACAGTTCCCAAACTACTTTTCAGTATTTTAACCATGGCTATTCTAAGTCTTTTCGTTCTCAGTCTGGGTCCTTCTTTGGAGCATTTGCAATTACCCAGTACCTATTTTTCAATTGAGTCAGCCTTCTAAATTTTGTTGGCTTCTGAAAAATGTTTAACTGTTGTCTGTTGGCATTCTGCAGCATTTTTAAGTTGTCAGGATATCATCTGTAGTCCAGACAGAACTAAAAATGGATGCCAGGAAGGCCCACTTCTAAACCTCTTTTGTTGCTTATAATTTGGCCAAAGAGTCTTAATTGGCACTGATTACCACCTGACCTGCCCAAAGCTTCCCCTGCAATGCAGAGAACATCCAGGAAAAGCTTTCCTGCACTGAGTGACTCTCATTAACCACAATGGTTAACTGAACAAAATCTTAAAGGGAGACTCTGCAGAGACACTTTAGAGACAAGAGGGGAAAAGCTGTCACAATCCATGCCAGACCCCACAAAATTTACTAAAGCCAAAAGGTTTTAAAGAAGCGATCTTACACAAGGCTACTGGACATTCACTCACCTCTGACAGAAGGCAAACTCTTTTTTTTTTTAGCCAAGGCCTTCTATTTAACCAGACAAATTATTTTGCTGGCTCCAAACTTACCGTTTTACTAGTCCATGCTCACAGCGTGGACTTAGTCTATTTAACTGGGAGTCTTCTTTTACTTACTCTGTATTCTACTTTATAAATATGTTTCCAGTTTTAAACTTAAATAACAAGTACTTTTGATTTAGCTGTCAGTTATCTGTCCCCTTCTCCTGTATTTGTCACTGGCCAAAAGACCCTAATTCCCTGGTTCCCCAGGTACTTGGACTGTTTTTATTAAAGGGCGTTGACTCTCTGCTTGGGCCCACAGATTAACTAAAAACAGAAAACATACCATTTCTCCATTTTATCTATTGTCCTTTGCTCTGAGTCATTCTCTCTTGCAGTCAACTTGGAGTCAAGAAAGAACAAAAATGACGGATGACATCTTTGTGACAAGGGACTGCAACTATCCCCAACAACAGACTCTACTCAGAATGAGACACCCTCCAGATAACAACTCTGGAACCTCTTCCAAAACCAAAACTGAGATTGTGACCAACCCAGACTCACCTGTGGTTGGGACTGTTTTCTGTCCATGCCTTTGTCCCTGCCCCCAGTTCTTTTGTCTACCTAGGCCTATAGTTGATGTTGGTACCCAAGATCCCTTGGTTTTCTTTCTTATGCTGATAACCACTGGCCATGTGTATTTAACTACATGTCTCATCTTATCTTCCAAAGCCTACATTCCTTTATACAGGTTGCACTCAAAACCATGCTGCCTCTACAGGAAAAGTACTGCTTTTATGTGTGGGATGAGACGTAAAGCTATTCCAAAATACAAACTGCTTGTTCCCTGCCAATAACACCTGCAAACAAGTTCCTACTCCAGCAAACACCAAACTCTCCTCCACTCACAGTTAGGGACTCTAAGTCTAAAAACCCCAAACGCTACAGACTGGAACTCCAGGGGCCCCAGCAGCAACACCATTCCTGCCCTAGTAGTAATGGTAGCTTCATTAGCATACTCCCACCAAATATGACATAAATTCATTTCATTTCATTTCACTTCAGGATACTTTTGGGTATGCAGGACAAACAGCTACATCTGCTTGCCAACCAATTGGACCAGAACCTGCACCCTAGCTTATATGTCCCCCACACTTGAGTTCGTACTTCTGGACACTCCAATCCCTGTCCCCACCCAGGTTAATACTCAGATAAGGGCAAAAAGAACAGTATAACTGGTCCCCTTCCTGGTAGCCCTGGTGGTTACTACTGGGGCGGGAACTGACTTAACTGGCATGGGAATATCCATTTCTGAATTTTCCAAACTTTCCAAAGAATTAACTAATAGCCTCAAAGACATCTCACAACAGATAGATTATCTACAAGACCAAATGGACTCCCTGGCTGCAGTAGTCCAAAACCGACATGGCCTAGACCTTCTCATAGCTGCACAAGGAGGCCTCTGTGCCCTGCTGGAAGAATACTGTTGCTTTCTCACCAATAAATCAGATTGGTATGAGATGGAGCATGACAATTCAGGGAACAGGCAAACAGCCGCCCCCCCCCCCCCCGTTTCCTGGTTATTATGGGACTAACCTTTCTTCCCTGTCTCATCAATCTCTTCCAGAGGTTCCAACAAGAACCTCTCCAATGCTACAACAAAGGAACAATTCAGGACCCTACTGCTAATATAAGCTATTTGCCCGAGCCCCAACTCCACCCTGAATCAGCAGGAAGTAATTAAATGAGAACACAGCACCCACTTTCCTTTGCTTTTTTATATATTTTTAGTCTGGGAATGTAAGAAACTCTGTCTTCTGACCTTGAACTGAAACTCCTGGCTCGGGCCATGGATCACGAACTGTGGAACATGGTACACTGCCCAGCCTATATGGACAAGCCTGGGAACCTTCTGCACTGCCCAGCTCATGTGGGCAACCTTGAAACATACTGCATTCCCAATCCCCTGCCTTTGGTCCTACCTCTGCCTTGGCTTTAAAAACACAGCCTACACCCTTCCCACCACCCGGAGATTGCCAGACGCCCTTCTATCTCGCTAATAAAGCGTGACTCAACTCCACTGAGGTCTCTGTCCTTTTCCTAACATTACCCATATTAACTCATTCAGTCCTTATAAACCATATTGGAAAGATACCATAATCCTGATTTAATTGGTGGAAAATTTAGGTATAGAGAGGTTCAATAACTTGCCTAATGTCACATGGTTGACAAGTGGATGAGTCAGGATTTGAACCTAGGAAGCTTGGCTCCAGAAGCTATGCTCTTAAACACCATACTCTACTGCCTAGCTACATTATCTGGCATATAGAAGATCATTCGTTTCTCCTTTGCAGCTCATTATTACCATGAAAAGAACACTCTCCTCATGTAGAAATGGAAATTTCTACTCCAGAGAGGTCAGGCTTGCCAAAAAACATTTTCGTCATTATCCCTAACAGCACATGCATATCAGTATTAGGACACTTGCATAGCAATACAAAGTCAGGATTTAGCAACTGTCATAAAACATGGTTAAGTACCTTCTAGTTCACCAATTTTTTTGGCAAATACTTTCAGTTGTTTTTTCAGTTTCCGGACAGTCTTATCCTGTTTTTCAAGTTGTTCCATCAAATCCTACAGAACAAAATGAGAAATATAACAGAAAGATCAAAATAGGCCTTCTAAAATGCACCAAGGGAAAGCAGACACAAATCACACAACAGCACTGTTAGTTTCACAGAAAAGCTCGCTGGTGGAGCCACCACCTGGCTAAAACTGGCAGGCATGGGAAGTGCAGCTATGGAGAAGCCAAATGCTGAAGTACACAATGCAGTAAAATCCTTTACAGCGTGATGGACAGCAGGCTCACTGTGGAGTCTTCCAGAAGGTTCTATGTGGGTAAAACAACTGAAGGCTTGTAAACAGTTATTCCAGTGGAATGGTTTCTTCTGAAGGGGTATGAGGCAAAAATGAGTTTTGATGAGTGCACAAAAGTTCTGTGGGAAGATCTCAAGATGGCTGCAGTTAGGTAGAGAAGAACAAGTGTGTGAAGCACAGTTTCTATGACACCTACCCTTTGGAGATTTTTAAATTAGACTTGAAACTCAAGAAAAGTTAGAAGTTTAAGGAATTAAAAGTTAAGTTGGAAAAACAATCAGAGAACAGGATAAAGAGCTTTCTGCTGACCTAGGACCAAAGTAGCAGGCTATGTAACATCCATGAAATCTTGCAAATGATATATAGCATATGAATGCTTAATGCAAAAAGAGGGGAGGGTAAAGAAAGGTCTACAGTTATTGGCCCTCTATTTCATAAAGAATTCTCTCAAATGAGAGCCATAGTTAGAAACTCAACAATTAAGAGGAAAGTAGACAGAAGCAACCTTGGGAAGCTTAGAAGGGAAGGGAGTCACTGATATCTGTGTAGTCGTTTGGGTTCTGGAGAAGAAAAGTGTTTACAAACACAGACATTCATTCATCTCCAATTCAGACAGGAGAGGACTTAGACACTAGATCCATGAGTTGAAGGGAATCGTTGCTAACATTTCAAAGTATTCAGTCATCTTCTTGAATTTTACTTGATTTTTCAAAACACATTTTGCTTCCATCACACTGTAAGCCTAGTGTTAATAACAAACCAAACAACAATGGACGTAGGACACTGACAGAGGTGACACCACTGTTTAAAAGATGGCTGTGGGTAAAAAAGGTTTTGTGAAAGTTGTCAAGGCTTCCTGGGGAGCGGCAGGCAGCAGTGGGCTCTTCAGTTACAGCAGGCAAGAAGTAGGAGAAGTAGCAAGGAGGAGGAGGAGAAAGACACGGGAAAAGCACTGCGGTTTACATACAATCATCCGTTTGTAAAGGGAAATCCGATATGATTGATACTTCTTAGGGTCATCTGCATATAATTCCTCAAAATACTGAAAAAACAGGCACAATGGATATTTGTTTTTCTTGTGTCTTTGAGGGAATGCTACCTTTCAGCAAAATTAATTTTAAAACACAAAAAATGAAACTGCATTTACTCAAAGGGCTCTGATTTGTCACCTGCCATTACTCTATTGTTTCTGTAGTATAGATGATTTGAACTACATATTCATAGATCGTTTTGGCATGTCTAAAGGGAATGTGATGGCCGGAATGCCCTCATTCAGCAGGTCAACAGGGCCAGTGGTGGGTCCAGTTGCCCAGACAGGCTGTTCTCTCAGTTCTCAGCTGTTTACTCCTCCCTCAGGGATGATGCTCAGAAGTTGCTGCATCTTTGTCACCAGCAGCAGTGGCAAGGGTAGGGACAGCAAATAAAAAGAAAGTGAAAAAGCCACCCCCTCACACTCCAGTCTGACATTGGTGAGGCTGGTGAGAAGCCCAGTGCCTTCCTTCCCTGAAAGGTAGCGTGGGGAGGCCTGTGAAGTCTGTTTGCTCCAGGAGGGAGAGAAATAATTTTGTGTTGGTGTTAGGGGGCAGGTGGGTGGTGAATATTATGTAAGGCAGAGTTTCTGAGAACCTAAGCCCAGATCTACTGTACTTTAATATTCTGCTCAGGTGCTTCCTAAAAAAATGCACAATTAAAATTTAGAAATGATTAAAAATTGGAGAAAAGTACATCATTTTATGTACCTAAGTCCAAGTCTATTTTTCAGAATTAGTAGAGGTAACTGATCTGCAAAGAGCTCTCTGGCTTACAATGTGGGGGTTTTGATGTTTTTATGTTAGCTATGAACAATTGCCAGGAAAATTAATACTGCAGACAGGTTGCAGGGGAAACACTCATCAACATAGCAAACAAACCCTGAGGATCTGCCACCCAGAAGCATCCTGATTTCATGGATTTGCCTAGTATTTTAAAACAATCATTTATAAGCACAGAATTTATACAATGTTCTATTCAGCATATTTATCAATTCTTACTTATGAAAGCATTGTTAGTTTAATTTGAGCAACAATATATTTGAGAGTAAAATGACATTTTAAGAATACTATATGATTCAAAGATTTCCCTTACAAATTAGTGAGACTTCAATCACTTAGGAAACAGTCCAAATACTACCCTCTACCCCCATTCCTACCTTGGAGCTTCACATATAAGATAGATTGTAGAAAAAAATACCTTTGGGTTTTGCTTCTAATCCATATAAAAGACAACTGAATAAATGACACTAGAAAACTATTTATAATGTAAATTATCACTAATGGAGTAATGAGGGATGGTTCAGATTGCTAAATCTTCAGAGAAAAGTCAAACATTTTTATTGTAGGTTATTAGAAACCTTAATTTAAAAAAACACAAATCACTAATCATTCCAAACAACTCTCAAAAGCAGACTGTCACTACAATATGGATTTGATATAGGAATGTGGAATTATACCTTTTGGTAACTTTTAATGTAATGAATATCTGTACTTGAGTAGAGGTAAGAACTACAAATATGTAACAAAAGCTATGATGCAACTGAGAAAGAAATGGCTTAGAAAATATTTTTGGTAAAAAAAAAAATAGAAGAAACAAGGTCAGAAAAAAAGGTCAGACTCCATGCCAGCATTCAGAATCTGGCAAGGGGGTGTGTGTGTGTGAAAGGAAGCTCCTCCTCATTTATTATATAAGTTCTGCTTAACACAATAAAAAATTGTGCAAACCTGAATCCTGATTCCCTCCTCCCTACCCTAGGTGTTCTGCCAGTGTCAAACAAAAGCTCCTGCTTGGCTCTGCCAACTGCCTTCCCTAACCTCAACTCTGACCTCTGTCTGCTAGAGACAGAGACTTGATGGCCTCCTCAGGGGCTGCTTGGGACCAAGGCAAAACAAGTTGTCTCCAGACTCTGTCATGACAATTCTATAACACACATAACAGACCTCCTGGAATGGCAGAGAACCTGCAGTGGAAGTGGAAGAAGCAAGTCACCTGAGTCTTCTAACTCCCAAAAGCCTGGCCTTGCAGCCAGGTGGCCCTCTTCCAGACCCTCCATGTGAGGCCTGAGAACACTCAGCCGCTCAAGAGCCTCCTATGAGAAACAACCTGTGCACACGCACTTTCCATTTCGACCAATGTATTCGTGTTTTCCTTAGTCTCTCTACTAGACTAGACTAAGGGTAATAACTTTGTGAGAGAGTATTTTTCCCAACAAGGAAAAGCTGTGTTTGACCAAAAGAAACCAGAAAGCGGGTGGGGCCAGGTGCTGCCTGCTGAAGAGTGTGCAGCCCTGCCCCTCTCCTTACCAAGTTCTCGTTGGTCAGCCGTGTGATCTCGTGCTGCAGGCTGGCCTCGATGCGGGCCTCTGGAGGCAGCTGCAGGTTCTGGGCTAGCAGCTGCTGCTGCCGGTTGTTTTCCTCCTTCAGGCTCTGGATCTCCCCACGGAGGGCCTCAGCCTCGTTCTCATGGCTCCTCTTCTGAGACTGCAGCTGGGACTCCAAGAGCCTGCAGAGAAGCCATGGGTAAGGAAGGGAGATGGCACCGAGTTCCTGCCTGTGTGGCTGGGTATGAGGCTGCGTGCTCACTTGCAAGAGTAGGAAAAGCAGGAATTAGCATCTGTTTGTGCACCTTCTGACTTGCTTAAAGTCAAGAAACGCAAACAAGGGTCAAAATGGAAACTAATGCACTCACATTTGTGTCTTTCTAAGCTGTATGAAGTCCTAAGAAATAGAAGAGTTTTAGGTCTTTGGAAAAACTCACAGGAAATGATGACTTAAAAAATCAATTAAAGTCCAAGGCGGTGGCATATGTGTGTAATCCCATCTGCTGGGGCGGTAGAGATGAAAGGATCACAATTTGAGGCTAGCCCCAGTAAAGGTAGCTTGAGACTCCTATCTTAAAAAAATAAATAAATAAAAACAAAAGAGGCGGGGCATTGCTCAAGTGGTAGAGCACTGGCCTAGCATGCACAGGTTCTTGGTTCAATACTCAGCACTGCTTTAATCTGGCTTACTATACTTATAACTAGCATTTAAACTGGCAAAGATGGTTATCATTGCCACAAAATAACTGCACTATAAAAGGCAAGATGGCAAATTCTCAGTTTAACTAAATATGGCTTTATGGACACAGTTACTAATTCAGGCCGATTCTACTCTTGTCTCTGAAGGGCAGAATAGCAAGAACACTACCCTGAAATATATACACAGATTTATCTAAATTCAGACTGAGAATTCTGAAATTTCATATATATATATGTATATAAAATTGCCTTCTCTTTGCCCATAAACTGACACCTCAATAACAGTCTTGAGAAGACATGGTTTTAGAGCACAAGTGCTAACAGCATCAACAAGTGATCTCTGCTTCTCTTGGCAAATATGTAGCCCCCGTGTCCACTGAGCAGACCAGGCCCTGGCAGTGAGGACAGTAGTGTCAGCATCGTCTCTTCACCCGATATCCAGCTTCTACACTCACTCCTTTTCCAAACACAAATCAAAGTTTGGTTAAGAATTAACCAGAAAGAAGAGACATTCTTTTAATCTAATTGCCTTAGTGAGCAACTGCTGGGTAAAACATTGGTGCCACTGCAAGCAAACCATTAATAGCAGACAAATAATATTATAGTGATGGCAAAATTTCAAAAGGCTTTCAAGCAACATCACCGCAAAAGATAATGACAATGCTTTATGGTTAGAACATATGAAGCAGAATAAGCAGAAGCCCCCTTGAACAGAGTAATAAGGATTTTAAAAATTTAATCACTAAAGCACAGAATTTTTATGAGATTTTTAAGACACAAATGTCACTATTGCAGATAGTGTCTGTGTAGAAAGATGCTGCTTTTTCAATTTTATTTTTTTCCCATAGATATGCTTAATGTGCTGAGTTTGGGTAGTTACTTTGAACCGAAGCAATGCAAGAAACCCTCCTGATTTGTTGTTTCATGCATTTGGATTTCATAGCTACCACACTGAATGCTGCATCATGGCCTTCAAATTGCTTTTAGGCAGCATAATAACCTAAGAGTGGTCACACTGCCATAGGCACAAATGTCTCATAGACTGATCTTTACACAAATATAAGGTGCTGTCTTGTGGTAAGTATTAGTGCCCATGCTCCAATAATCTGTGCTCTACTTGAAAGATTTTATTTTCCTCTCAACTTCTAGGGAGATATGGTCATAATTTTTAGACATTAACAAACTCTAGGTAGCATCGGTCACTTATGCAAGACAAGTCATATTCACCATCACTCAATTTTAGCATTAGTGGTATCTCTTAGGGGAGATTTTAAAGAATGTGTTTAGTTGAATGGTCTAAGGTTTACTGAAACTAATTTACCCAGGAAGACAATAAATGCACAGGAAACACAGGCATTAAAGTCAAGAGACCACTGTTAGTAAGAAAAACAACAGGTTAATAACATTCCATTTTGAGGAGACGAATATAACCTGTTGGCTTGTTTTAACCCTTCATAAACCAGCCACAGCTCTCCATCCTCATTCAACTCATGGCAATCCAGAGCAGATGATCTTCCATGCAAAGGAACACAATGCAAGACACAAAGGAACACAGGGTGGAGATGAGATGGTGATGGTCAGGAGAAGCACAAGGCATTTCAATACTTTATTAAGTGAGTACACTTGCTTTTAGTAATGACTTCACGACATTACTGCAAAAACTAATTTTGGTTAATTTTTCAAGTGGGTAACATGTAGCATCCCATGTAAATGAGTAAAAATTAAACCAAAATAATCAAGGACCTAGAGCTACTTTCCTGAAAAAAATTTTAAAAATTACTGAAAAGGTGAGAAAGAAATTCTGCTTTTTACATTATTCAGCTGACCGAATGATCTCATATATGCGGCATTACTGGAGGCTAACCATGACACACATATGGAATGTAAACGCCAGCTATTGTCTTCACGTGGCAATGTTCACAATCTCTTCAAAATGAAGCTTTCAGTGTTCTGGGTGAGAACTTGTTTTAGCTTAAGAAAATCTGATTTCCCATTTAAAATTATTTTTAAAATCTTGTAAGAGTAATATATATAAGAACAGGTCCAAAATTCTTAGCTTTAATGACATGGTTAAAAGTTTTTCATTAAAAATTAATTTTAAGATCTGGATAAACTGCCTTTACAGTAGAGATACGCTGCATTTTATTAATGGATAGTAATGACAAAGTTGAGAAGTTTTTTTCTACCTAGGGTACAAACATGTTTTGAGCATTTGCTAATGTCAGATGCTGCTCTACACCCTTTCACATCCTTGTTTTCTGTGCACGAGATTGAACGCAGGTTCTCACACTGGCTAGGCAAATGCTCTACCACTTGAGCTATGCCCCTAGTCTAACACATCTTTTGGTTATTACATCTCCTTGTCTCAGTCACCCAACCTGCCACATTACAGAGGAAGACAAGGAGGCCTGGAAGTGAGCTGCTTATAGAGGTTACACTACTAGAAAGTAGTAGAGCCCAGCACTGATTCCTGCTTTGGTTCCAGAGCCCAAATTTTTACTCTTATGAAATTTTTCACCCTTACCCATAAAAGCAGATAAAAATTATCTTTAGTTTGTGAAACACTTATGTGTGCCAATCCTGATACTATGCATCAAGGAACCTGGAGCACCACTGATAACACGCACCTCCAGAACTGATTGTGTGACCACTGGCCATGATCTTTCAAACTGGTCTAGCATGTGTGATCTTTTCTGTTCAGAGTTTAGTAGTGATCGAGCTCTGCTAGAAGTAGGGTAGCAGTAAGGGTAGGACAATGCCATGTATGAGTCTTTGTTCTTCCATCCTACAAGTCACTGTGCCCTTTTAGAGTTGCGTATGTGGCAATGATGCAATTCCAGATCCCTCATCACTTCTCTTCATACTAAGTGTCCATTACTGAAAGCTGCAGTTGTCCTTACAAATCTTCAAATGGCCATTCTGAATCACTACACACACTGTGAAAGAGACTACCCAAGACAGTCCAAACTGAGCAACTGGTTTTCTTCTCAAGGCAGCACTTCAAGGCTAAGACCCTAAATAGTTAAAAATATCTTCCCTAATGTAAACAATGTTTTGACACCTCTCACTGATAATGCTACCTAATATTATAATGGGATTTTAACTGGGATTATAATGGAAACCTGGGATTCTCTCTGAAGATCAGTTGCTTTGTCTAATAAGGCAGTGAATAAACATGTTGACTTTCTGTATAAGAGGCTGGCTTGAAGACTAAAGATCAATACAGTTAAACCAAAATGAGCAAAAGGAGGATAAACTTACCTGTTTGTTTCTTTCAAACCAATATATGCTTGTGCTATTTCACCTTTATCTTTCATTTTTTGTACGTCTTCCAAAAGTATTGTGGAATCCGTCATTGTATTCTGAAGGAGGAAATGACATATTTCCACATTATGACTCAACTCAAAAGCTTTGGACCACATATATTGTTTTCCTCCCATTAGAAGTATTTATGTGCTTCACCACACTTAAGTCCCACCTGACCCAGCTCCACATAACCACAGAGTTTGGCATAGTCAGTCCCTGTCCTGAGAAGGCCTAACATGGCACTATAAAGGTGGTGGCACTGTAGAGTACTGGTGTCCTGCAAATACAATCACTGATGGGCTTTATGTATTTTACCTTATGTAAAAAATTATATACATACACATACTTGCAGTATGACATGTAGAACAGAGTATGTATGACACTAGAAAAATAAGGAGGCAAGAATGTAATGGAAAGTACTAGCCATTCTATCTACTACTTTCTGGACAGTTAGAATGAAATATTGAAAATTGGACCCAAAGCCCATTTTTCCATTAAAAATCCAGTACAAAGTAGGTAGTGTTCAGATGATGGGCTTTAGAAAATTATTTTTAAAATCACATCCTAAGATATATGTAAGTGGGAAGGGCTTAGCTACTCTTAAATATCTACCATCTGCTGCTTGTCATTCTTTTCCTCTGGCACAGTATAACATGATATATAAGCTTTTGAAATGAAATAAACATCTGCCAGGTGAGAATTACTAATGATTTTATATCAAAAGGACTTTTTTGGTCAACATTTTAATTTTATTTTTCCCTTTTGGTCCAATCTGTCTGACAATGAATGTAGTTTTAAAATCTTGTTTCTACACAGCTACTTTCTATTTCTCTAAAGCAAGACAGGGGGTGCAAAAATCTCTACTGTGCAGCCTCTGTAGAATAATACACTTTAAACCCTAACCGATGGCTATTCTATTCGTATAACTAGTATATGCTTGATTTCTTTTAGTCAACATTTGCTCTAAAGTCAGGTCTCACAAGGAAGAGGATTTAGGAGAATACACTTCAAATACCAAGGCATTACAGACCTGTTCCAGGATAACTTTAATGCCAGCCAGAGGCTTTATAAATGCTTGCTTTTGTTTTCAGTGTGTATAGGAAACATCCTTAAAAACACAAACCAAAACAAAAAAACTGTTGGACAGGTGGAACATGCCTGTAATCCCAGCACCTGGGAGGATGAGGCAGGAGGACCACAAATTCAACACCAGCCTGGGCTACTTAGTGTCTCAAATAAAACAAAATAAAGCTGGGCATGGTGGCTCATGCCAATGATACCAGCTAGCAGGGAAGCAGAGATCTGGAGATCACAGTTCAAGGCCAGCTTGGGCAAACAGTTATTGAGGCCCCATCTCAATCAGTAAGCTGGGTGTAGTGGTTCTTGTGGCTGTGATACCAGTTTCAAGGGAGGTTCTGAGTAGGTAGGAGGATCACAGTCTAAGGTCACCCTAGGCAAAAACTGCTAGATCCTATCTAAAAAATAGCTAAAGCAAAAAAAAAAAAAAAAAAAAAGAGGTGTGTTCAGGGGCATGCACCGGTACAGCCAAAAAATATAAAATAAATAAAAAAAATTAAAAAGGGGTGAGGGGGGGCTTAGAGTGGCTCAAGCAGTAAGAGTATCTGCCTTAGCAAGGTGAAGCCCTCAGTTCAAACCTCAGTGCCGTGAAAAAATAAAAAAAAATAAAAAAGGGGTGAAGGTGTAGCTCAGTGGTAGAACATTTGCCTAGCACGTGAGTCCGAGTTCAATCCTCATTTCTAAAAGAAAAAAGTCCCCACTCTTCTCCTAATGCTGTCCTTTTGTGAATTTACAAATGCACCTTTAAAATGACCAAATATAACCTGACAAGAGTTATTAGTAAAGAGTTTATGCTTTACTGAACTAAAATTTTTTTCCTATGAATGCCAAATATAACACTTCTTTAGCTATGTTTTGCAAATATTTTAGTACATATTTTAATAATTTCTCTTTCCCTGAAAGGAAAAAAAAATCTTTCCATTTCATGAAGAGCCATTCTCATTTTTGAGAGTCACAAATAATAACTTACAAAGTCCCAAGCCATCAACAATGCTATATGTATGCTCTAATATCTGAGGGCTTGTAGGGAGTGGTTCTGAACTTTGATAAATTAGGTAGCTTGATCTAATTAGTTAATCCAAGGGAAAGGCAGACTTCTCCATTGCTGTTGTCCTGGGGAGTAAGTAGCCAGTTCCCCGTTCATCTTGCCTGCATTGGCTAAGAAGTGGCAATTGGGGTGGGAGGGGTGGAGTGGGAATCAGATTTGGACCACAGCATTAGGAAGTTCCTGACTCACTGCTCAAAGCTTATTTCCCCCATGCCAGTGACTGGAAGTTCTCAAAGGATTGTGCCACGTATGAAAAACTTCAGCAATACTTGTCACTCAATAGCTGCAAACAAGATGTAGCAGAGATATTTGACTTTGAAGTCTCACCATGAGCCACGTTTTTTTCTAGCTGAGGACCCTGCACTCTGGAAGAGGAATGTGGCAGTAAAGAATGCCTGCTGGGCTCCTCAGGCTCAGCCAAGAAAACCACAGCTGGTGAAGATGAGCACTTGGGACATACTCCAACTGAAAGTTGTCTTCTCCCAGCTTGTGCATGACCTACCGTAACTACTATAGTGAAAGGTAAAGCTGGCTGTGAAGTAGAAGTCATGGAGACCCTTCTAGGATCGAGATTGGAAACCACCTCAGCCATGGCCCCTATTTCACATAGAAAGGAGTCAAACAGGAAATTAATGTGTAAATATAAAAAATTGACTAAAGCATCACTTGCATATGCCAGGGAGACCTGTAAACTAATGCTCAGGTTAAATAGAATTATGTACTAAACATTGAAAAAAAATCTTGTAATTACCTTGTCATCCTGAAAAATCACAAGTTGGCAAGCACAAAAAACAAATGGAGAAAATAACAAATCTTTAGTTTCATGAAGAAATTCCAGCAAAGAATCCTCATAGCAGATAAAAGCTAATTTGAAAAGAACCCTGAGTTGCTTCTCCGAAAACTTAACTACGTAAATAAATTTACATTCATGAAACTGGCATAAGGTCAACATTAATAAACATTTATGTGACAGCTACTTTTATTTCTCAGAGACAAATGCTCGGAATTCTTCTTGAGTCACTTTGTTTTTTTCTGGTTGTAAAACATTTTTGAGTATATAAAAGAATGGCCCTCCTTGATGTAAAAGAGTATGATTTTTATCCTCAGTTTGTGAGAGTTATAGTAATGCCCCACTAGGAAGACATTTGCTCAGCAAAGCCTCCCAGAACACTCTGGAGGTGGAGCAGACAAACCAGACTTGGCTGAGCTGAATCATCCCCTAGCTCACTGGGTGTTGCTAAGTGCTGCCCTGAAAACTAGAAACTGAGTGAGACAAACAGCCTTGGGGTGTTTGGAACATCTCCATCAGTGTCGAGAGCATTTTTCTCAAGAGAGGACAAGATTGCTGCCATTTGTAGGCTGGGACCTGGGCAAGCAGGTACCTTGGTTAGACAGGGCCAGCCCCTCAGGGGCAAGAGATCAGTTTGGGTTATGGGAGCTGGGTGAGTGAGCATGTGTGATACCAGAACCATGAGCTCTGGTTAGCTAGATTGTTTTCACGCCCCTTGCTTCATTTTCTCTCCCTTTCTCTTAATTTTTACTCAAGTTTCTTGTAAGAAAATTATATGGTATCCTATAAATATATACAATTGTTACTTGTAAATAAAAAAAGAAAAACAAAGAAAGACTATCAGTTTGTCACAATGGAATCAGAGGAAAGAACCTTGATTTTGGATTCTGCTCCAGGTAGCTTCAGAGCCTTGTTTCTCCAGGCTAACCACAGTGGTACCCTTGGGAACCAAGAGAGACAGCTCCAGGGAAGATGAAACCAGTCAAAATGGACAGCCTTCTTCTGCAAAACTCCTCATTTCAGACTCAGGGTTTTGTGATTTGTTTTAAAATTTAAAAATCCACTTATTTATACAACTCTACCTGTTACTAGATTTTCACCCCCCCAAAATTATTTAGCCAAATATCTTTTAGAATTTGCTATTTTTCTGGACCTGTCTTGTTTCCAAAGTATGAGTTGCCTTTATGAAATCCAAACGTATAAAGCAGGGCCAGTATCTAAACCAAAGGCAGAATTCCCATGTCAGAGAGGAGACATCCAGTTCATTTTTATCTCAGACAAGCTGACTGCATGGCAGGTCATGCAGGGGGATACCTGGCTGCTGCACGCCATGTGGCAGGGAGAAAATTACTCACGTTCCCTTTGATGACAAATGACAAAGCCCATATGTTATCAGTACCTGGCGGCACAGGGCCTCAGCTGATCTGGCAGGGAAGGCCTTTGAAGGCCACCAATATGCTCAATGTTGGGTGCTTTCTAGTGTATCCCTAAGCACAGCCCCTCCCAGGCAGGACAGCTCCTCATGTTAAATAGAATTCCCTGAATGGAGGAAGTCATCTCCATGTAACTTCCAGTAACTCATCTGATTTCTAACCTTTTCAAATGCTACCTTTCCAGTTAAATAGGCTACTTTCAACAAGTAATTTTAAAGTCACATTTAATGCCTCTTCACAGCAAGACACTTGAAGATTTTTGTATTTAAAACAATTTTACGTTAGATCACAATTTACTGTGCTAAATTGTGGGTATGGATCAAGTGGTAGAGTGCTTATCTAGTGAGCACAAGGTTGTAAGTTCAATCCCCAGTACCACCAACAACAAAAAATACGTAGTCAAATTAGTACAAAAAGGTTAATTTTTAAAGGTCTTTGCTCCTGAGAGATGAAACTTGGATAACCATTTGCACTTGTGATTCCACTTGCTTCCTGCAATTACTCTTAAGTATTTGCTTCTGTATAAATTGGAGGGAAAGGGTAAGAAGAAATGGGGCCAGCCCCTAAACCCCACTTGAGGCATGTGCTTGTGCTTACCTTGGGTTGGATGGCTTCCTTTTGGCTCACCAGCTGAGACCTCAAGATGAGGACTTCCTCCTTGCGAACATCCAGCTCCTCACTCACAGAGGTCAGCTGCTCCATGAGGACACGGTAGGCAGGTGCGCCTGGAGCGGTCACCTCTGGGGCACTTTTCTCACTGAGGGCTTTGCGTAATTCATTTAGCTCATTTTTCAGTTTTTTGTTTTCTGACTCTAGTTCTTGACGCTGAATGAGAAGATAAAGAAAAGATCACTGCTGTCATCCTCAACTAAACACTGGAAACTCAACTTCTCCCAAGATTGTAGTGAATTCTGCTAGAAAAGGGCTTCTGAGCTCCCCTAGTGAAGCCTTCCCAGGGTCTCTTGGGAAGTCTGCTCTGCAAGTTGAGGAAGTGAGACATCAAGTGGGAACGGAGCAAGGCTGATGGTGGTTTGCATCATCAACCCAAATTCCACAGTCAAATTTATTCTGGTCTGGTCAGGGAGTGTTCCCAGGCCTAGAGAGATTGCTCAGTCTCAAGGAGGTGGGCTTAACCAGGCCTAAGGAGCCAGGTTTTGTTTGCAGGTAAATATAAGGATAAATCCAAGTATGTGGCTGATAAGAGTATTTGCATGAATGGGTGGACTCCTGAAATCTGTAGTAGTGTCCCCTTTTTTCTTTTGTAAAGCAGAATGAAAAGACCATGAAAATTTTAGGCTTTTAACTTACAGTTTCTAAAATAATGACAAAAACCTACCATATCATTTAAACTGATAATACTCCCTTTATTATTTTGGTGACAAATAATGTATTTTTCTAACTTCTTTCTTGTGTGACAAGAGGCTGGCAGAACCTTGGGAGGTGGGAGGAGAGGCTGAATGCCTCTTCCTTTAGCTGTCCAGATGGACATATACATCCTTCACCCCCTCAGTACCTTCACAGCCATTCTCAAGCTACCGGTTAGCCCTCTCCACACTCTGGTCATACAATAGCAATGGGAAAGAACCCAGAATAAAATGGCAGTTGACACCAAAATCACAGTGTCACAAGATACCAACTGGGAAACACTGAAGTTGAGAGGCATTTTAAAATGTGCCAGACGCAGTGGCTCTTGCTTATACTCCTAGCTACCAGGGAGGTGCAGATCAGGAGAACCACAGTTTGAGGACAGCCCAGGCAAAAAAGTGGGATTCCATCTCAACAAATAAGCTGAGTGAGGCACGCCAATTATTCCAGCTCTGTGGGAGGCCATAGGTAGGAGGCCATAGGTAGGAGGATTGTAGTCCCAGGCCAGCTCCAGGCAAAAACATAAGACCCTATGTGAGAAATAACCAAAGCAAAAAGGGCTGGGGTGTGGCTCAAGTGGTGAAGTGCCTGCCTAGCAAACACCTCAAACCCCAATACCATCTAAAACACTAAATAAATACTTTTTAAAAAAACAGCCAACTCTTAAAAGTCTATCTTAGAAAAGCTAAGGTACCTTATGATAGTGAAAGTTGTGACACTTGTGTCTCAAGATCAAATATTTTATCATTTCTTCCTAAAGAAGCAATCTTGTCAGCAACACTTTCAATGAATTATACCAAAACTATTTCAAGTCTTTTTTTTCTAGTTTAAGAATATGTAACCCTTTCCTTCATGAATTAATGTATTCTGTGAAAATGAGTGCTTCTTTCCATCCCCAATCTCTCACCAACTGGTAACTAGATTTGCACAGCTCATTTATGTAATAGAAAACACATGATATGTCTTTACTTTGATGTCTAAGCTTTGATACAGTGTTTCTCAAACTTTAGCATACATCAGAACCACCCAGAGTTTTTGTTAAAGCACATACAGCTGGGTTGCACCTCCAGATGTTCTGACTCAATAGGTCTAGCAGTGTATGGCCTGAAATTTAGCATTTCCAAACAAGTTACTATGTGGTATTGATCTTGCTGGTCCAGGGACTAGATTTTGAAAACCACTAATCTGATACTTTGTGAATCTGGGCTTCATTCACACTGCAGAGAAGGGGTTGGGGATGTGGCTCATGTGGTAAAGTGTCTGCTTAGCAAGTGTGAAGGCCCTGAGTTCAAACCCCAGTACTACCAAAAAGAAAAAAAAATCATATACAGAGAACATTTTTATTTGTCTATATGTATGTGAGGCCTGTGGGAGATGATCTGGAGTACAGATTGCTACCTCTGTGCTGCTGGTTTGCCCCCTCATACCCTCATCAGATTTTCATGGTGGCAGATGGAGCACTTGAACCCAGGCAGCCTGACTGTAGAGTCCATGCTTTTTACTACTGTAGCCTCAAATGGCAGATACCTCTCTTGTTCCTGTTCAGACTGAAGTCCAGAATATACGAAATAGAATGCATACAAGGGAACAACACAAGCTAGACGTATTGCCTGAATAAGGCTTAAGTGAGGAAAAGACAGGCTCACAGCAGGTCTTTTGCCAAAACAAGGTATTTGAAGTCTTGGGTAGAAAATTCCCATTACCTTGAGGGACTCATATTCCAGTTCTGCACCTCTAAGTTGTGGTCTTTCTTCTTCCTGGGGGAAAATAAAAATTTTATATATTAGTTGTCACATTTTAACTCTTAGAATTCTTACTTGTTCTTCAGAAAACAGTGAAGAAAGTTTGGCCCTCACTGCTTTAACCAAATGCTGCTTGGTTAAGGTGCTTCTGGGTCGAGTTTTCATTAGAGAGAATGCAGGGTGGAGTGGTGGTTCACACCTGTAGTTTCAGCAGGTGGGAGTCTGAGGCAGGAAAATGATCACGAGTTTAAGGCCAGCCTGGGCTACAGAGGAATATCCCCTCTCAGAAAACCAAAGAGAAGAAAAGAAGAAAAAGAAGAGGACGAGGAAGAGGAGGAGGAAAAGGAATAACAAGGAAGAGGAGAAGAGGGAGGAAAAGAAGGAGGAATAGGAGGAGGAAGCTACCAAAAAGGCCATAGAGCAGGCCCAGCCTCAGCAGCTGGGAAGGAAAGCACTGCTAACCTTTGCCTTGCTGCGGAGCACCTGCTCCTCTTTGTGGTCCAGCTCATCCTGCATCATCTGCTTCTCCTGCTCCAGCTCTGTGACCCGCTTCTGGAGTTTGAGGAACAAGGACATATCCAGAGGCACCTTCTTCTCACTTGGCTCCTATTTCCCAGAAATCACAAGAGTCAAGAGAAGCCAATGAGAAAACAAAATAGCTTAACAGGAAAAGCCAAACTTATGGAAGAAATATAAACATCCAAAGAATACGCATAAAAAGCATGCTCACTGGGTGAGATAAGCCAACTTCTCAAGGCCAAATATCACATGTTCTCCCTCACTGGTGAGACCTAGGCCTAAGATGGTGATGACGACGGTTAAGATGATGATAATGGGCCATGAATGTTTATGGGGGACTGTCTTGGAGGGATCAGTGGGAAGAGGGAAGGAAAGGAAACTGAGGGGTGAAGAGGATGGAAGCACACGCATATATACATATGAATACAGCATAATGAAATCCACAAAATGCTGTTTTAAAGAGGAAGGAGAGGGCTGGTGGGACAACTGCTTAGCAAGCATAAAGCCCTGAGATTGAACCCCAGCACACACACACAAAAAAAAAAAAGAAAAAAAAATTGAAAAGAAAAATGAAAGAAAGAGGGAGAGGGGCAATGGGAATGCAATGGAGGGGTGAACTTGTTTGAGGCACACTGCACACATATATAGAATTATCACAGTGAAGCTCCTTATATTGTTAATGTATAATAAATTTCAAAACGCATGCCCAACCTAGCTAACAATTAGAGAAATGCAAATTAAACAAAGTACTACTTCTCCCTTATCAGATGTTTAATTGTACAGTGTGTATCATTCATTGCTTACCTATTACCTTATTGACAGGAATTGAGGCTGTTTCTAATTTTTGCTACTGATATGTTGTGAAAATAAACATCCAAGTACATAAATATCTAAACATGAACAATTTGTTTTTTTGATATGACTGGGGTTTGAACTCAGGGCTTCACACTTGCAAAGCAGGCATTCTACCCCTCAAGTCACACCTCCAGTCCATAAACATGAACAGTTTTAAGTCGGTTAAATTGGACCAATTTACACTTCCATCAATAGCAGTGACTGCAATGATTTTTAAAAATAAGAATTACCTTAATTGATAGAACAAAAGTGGTATTTCAATATTGTTTTAATTTGTATTTTATTTTGCATTCCTATGTATTTTAACTTTTTATTAATACTGAATAATTTTTACATTTCTGGGAATTTTGTATTCATTAAATACCTTTGCTGTGTAATGAATTCTGAGGATTGCTTAGTTCAGTATTATGCCAATTCTAAAAAAGACTTAAGGAAAATCAAATGAATTAAGAAGTAGACATTTATAGACTATCAAGATCATTTTTCCACAAGTTAATTATGGTTGGCATTTTTCTTACTGTCAAGTTTGTAGTATATATCAGTAAGAAAAAGTATGTCCTGGCTTACCCAAACAGAGCTAACACCTTGTCTCAACATGAAATCACTATGGAATTTCATTCATAGAAAAATTCACTTCTATGGTCAGGAGTGGTGGTGCATACCTATAATTCTAGCTCTTGAGAGACTGAGGCAGAAAGATTGCAAGTTTGAGGCCAGCCTGGGTCACATAGTGAGACTGTCTCAAAAAAATTCATTTCTATACAACATGCCAATACTCTTTAGTATATTTACAATTTAAACATTCCAAATATTTGTTCATTTATTCATAATTGTATGTGTCCCTGAAATTTTTATTCAGTCTTTAAAAAATTAGAAGCTTTTCACTCTACAAATGAATGTACTAGTTCATATCACCTAAAATGTCATTAGTTGGAAATCATTCCTCTGAGTCTTGAGTGGACATTTTAAGAGGAATCTTCTTACTAAGATGGGATGGAGTAAATCTTTCGATATCAGTTAGTGCTATATTCAGAATTAGTTGATTTCTAGATAAAAGCAAAATTCCATAGATAGTAATATTAAAATGGAAGATGGCAGAACACAAAAGATAACATTTGCCAAATGTAAAATAACTTGAGGCATAAAGATTGATAGTTATTTAAAAGTGCTCTGGATGGTGTCCATTCTTATCCCTAATGACACATCTAACTACAGAGATGTCACTTGTCTTCTCTCTACCACATGAGCCACAAGGAACATTATTAGGCCATCTGGCTTAGAGAAGTTTATGGGGTTTTATTTTGCTTTCCTTCCTTAGTAAGGACTTTGTCACCCAGGACTTTACTGAGAGAATAGAGCTATGAAATGGACCTAAAATATAACACCAATCTCTCATCTGAGGAAAATCAGAAAGTTAACAATTTATTCACAGTTACCACTATGCCTGGCAATCATTCTGTAATCCTCTTAACAGCAACAGAGAGAGTCAATGTGGCCGTTCCCTGGGTTTGACAGCTATGAGGAAGTTGGAGAACAGGGGTAGAACTAGGATAAATGTCTATGGATACCAGGAGAGGGAGGAAAAGCAATGTGCTTCCAGCCCTGAAGCTGCTGGAAGGGTGTGAGGGCTGCAAAACAAGTGGATCTGGCATGTGAGTTTTCTAGGCAGAACCATAAAGGTGAGCCACCATGACTGGTGAACCACAAATCCAGGCTTGCCAAAACCCAGGAAACCTTAATTCTCTTTTTTACATCAAGTTTTGCTGTTATCATATGACCAAGGTTAGAATTTTGTTCCAATAAAGTTTGAAGGACTCCTCCCTATTTTAATTGAAAGGAGTCTTAAATAAAAAGAGCTGCTTGGGAATATTATATAAATAAGTTGAAAGTTTCCCTGAAGTCTTAAAGGAGCAGTTTGTAAACCTGACCAGTGTAAAGGTAGCTGCAAGAAGAAAAGCAGGCCTGGGAAGTCCTAAGTAATTAGCAGTAGAAATTCACAGCCATCAGTCATAGTCTGGTACCTCTCTCCTGCCCATCTTCCTTTCTGATGATCAGTCTCTTTGCTTTATTACCAGGTATATAGATTTCCACCTTTCTGCCACCTGACCACACCCTGTCCAAATTGTAGTATGATCAATAGAGGTCTGTTAGAACAAAAACATTTATTTACTGAGCACCTGCTATGTACCAGATGCTGTTCTAAGTGTCTTATAGGTATAAACTAAAAAAAATTTTTTTCTGGATGTACTGGGGTTTGAATTCAAGGCCTTGCATTAGCCATGGTATCAGCCCTTTTTAGGTTATTATTTCAGATAGGGTTTCCCATTTTCGTCAGGGGTGGCCTGGACCTCAATCCTCCTACCTATGGCCTTCTGAATAACTGGGACCACAGGTGTGAGCCACTATACCTGCCTGTTTGCTGAAATAGGGCCTTTTAACTTTTTGCCCAGGCTAACCTTGAATCATGAGCTTTCCAATCTCCACCACACCTAGCCTTAATTCATTTAATTTTCAAATATCACTATTAGGGAGGTACAGTAGTAGCCTCCCCATTTCACAGGTGGAGAAATTGAGGCACAGAGAGATTGAGGTTGTGGACTCAGTCTGGAGTAGGGTAGTTACTGTAGTTTATTCCTGGTAAAGACAGTACTCTGACCAAAGCCAGCCACTTTTCAGATTCATGGATTTAGTCACAAAGAACTGTTCACAGGATGACTTGCTCAGTGAAAAGCCTTCCCCAGGCAAGCACTAAATTTATAATATGCAAAGACAAATGGCTACTAAATACACTCATATATATAAATTTAATTCAGCCTGAAATAAATTCCTGACAGCCTATATTTTCTATATGCAAAATATGTCAAAGTATAAAAGGGAATTCTGAAAGGAAAATATTGCCATCAAAATTACAATAAGAATTAAAATGTGGGGCTGGGATGTCGATCAGTGGTAGTGCATGTACTTACCACACATAAAGCCTGTGGTTCATCCCAGCACTAAAGCCAATAAAAACATTAAAGTGTATATTAACAAAAATGAATATGAACATACTCAGTTAATTAAGCACATATAAATCACTTATTGGAAATACTCTCTGTCCACGCAGCATGGCCACATCCTACTTTTAGTGAAAGTTGTCTAAAATGTACCTCTGCCCTTGATGGAATGTCTTCAGCTTCTGGAATTTCAGAGGAAAAGGTATATTCAGACTCATTACTGCTGTGGGTGGAGTCTGTTCTCTTATGTCCAGGCTTAGGCACATTCTGCAAGGCAAATAACCCAGGTATAATTAATACAACATAATCAAACTATGCATAATTAAGACAGCATCCTCCTTGACTTGGTTCTAACCCCCCTACTCACTGACTTATACTGATGCCTGAATGATCTAGGGCTCCATGCTGCCTTGACCAAATTCTTACTCAAAGAGAAAGGTGTGCCAGCATACAGGAACAGCTGAAAAACCAAATGCCCAAATGAAAATTGCCTGAGATTATTAGCAGAGTCCCATCTGGGTTTTCAGCTTGAGTGGTTGGCCACACTAGGAAGGGTAGGTGTCATGCTCCATCCAGGCAAGGATTTCAGTGTTTGATCAAATAAAACTTACCAGAGAATTTGTGAAATATATTGAAAGATATGCATAAACATTTACTGCATGGCAGTTGGGCATAAATGGTTAAAAAAAGGTGGTGTGGGCAGGGAAGAGAAGGATGGACAAAACAGAGAAGGTAAGAAAGCTGCTCTAAGAGTCCTCTGAAGACCCCTCAGTTATTAATTCAAGGAGTACAGGTGACAGTTTTATAACGTGATATCTATGAAATCAGTGTTCAGAAAGCTTACAGGAGAAAGAAAAGTTATGAGATTACAGCCCTAGGCCAACCCAACTTGTATCCAATGTATAGAGGAGACTCAAGAGAAACCCCACAAACTCTAAACCTATCCAGAAGCAAAGATATACACTAATGGGGAGATCATCAGACATAAAGTCAAAGGGAAATTTACTCTACTGAAGGGTGTCTGTTACATGAAGTTTCTAGCCAAATCCACAGTTGTATGAAATAGTGTTTAATAACTCACAGTTTTTTAAATAACTGGTCATGTCATTAAAAAATGCATATGGGTTTGTATATACAGTAGGACAAAGAGTTTTAATAAGCTGATTAAAAATGGACAAGGAATGGGGATTACCCCAGTGGTAGAGTGTTCATCTAGTATGCGTGAGGCCCTGGGTTCGATCTCCAGCACTGGGGGGAAAAACAGTAAGATCCTTACTTATCCCCCATGTGTTTATCATTAAACAATGAATATCTTAGGTATGAATAGAAGAAATACTGCTATCTGCTTTCATTTCATTTTTTATTTAGTTTTTGCAATGCTGGGGCTCCAACCCACAGCTTTGCACGTGGTAGGCAAGTAAGTGCTCTACCACTGAGCTGAGCTATACTCCTAGCTCTATTTGTCATTTAATGTGACTTTCGGTTATAGGGCAATACTTAAGTGTTTTTGGTCTGAAACAGCAGAGAACTAGGTGGGTAAAAATTCTAGCTCTGCACTTACTTATCCCTTACCCAATTTCTGCAGGTCTCAGTTTTATCATTAGGAAGATACATAATAACGTACCAATCTAGTAGGATTTACATGAAGATGAAATATGAATATGCAAGTAAAAACATGAGCATAGTGCCTGGCATATAACAAGTGTTCAGTTGACATTAAAAGCTATGATCATTATGAATCTGTAGTAATCCAATAACTTCTTTGTTGGTGACCTGTCAGTTCTCCAGACTTTTAGATTCTGTTTGCCTGTTCATGTTATTCAGTTATAAGGACATACACTTGACTTGATCATCATGTTCTTCTTCAAGATCTGCACCTTGCTCCTCTTCTATTCCTTATCTGTCCTTTCTCCCATAATTCCTTCTACCAACATTAATTATCCCACTGCTGTCATATTGGATTCCCTCCTGACTCTGGAACTAATTTACCTTTAAACACTTCACAGGGTAGATTCTTTTGCCACATTATTCTCTCATTGTTGCCTTGAAATTCTTGTGTCCTGGTTTAGGCTTTTCCTCATTGCCTCTGCTTCCATAATCCCTTGGCAACTGAACATCCATGGAGAAAAATTCTACAGCACTTCTTATACCATGGCCAATAAGTCTAGACCTTGGTAATCAATAACACTATTACTTCACTAGTGTTCTTTGGCCCATGTGTCACATAGAGTAGGGAAAGCCTTTCAGACAGTCTATCAATTCCCCTCCTTAACGTTTCCTCCATCCATTTGAGGAATCTAGTCATTACAAAATGCTTCATTAGCTCTGGCTTGCAGCACTGAGGGGTCATTTGTAGAACAGTGTCAATAAAATATTAGACAAATACTGACCTGGTAGCTGTGAAGTTCACTCTAAACATTAAAATAAGATAGTGCCCTTAACACTTTAGTTGTCCTAAGTTATACAGTCAAATTTTGTATTCACTGAATTCTAGGTCGATATTCTCTTTAAGACTATAATCTTTATTATATCTGGAACTAGGAAATGAGACCTAATGAAGAACTGCATAGGAAGCAAGGAACCTCTGCTCTTCCTTCCTGTGTCTTTTCCTTTCCCTTTTCTCTTTCCTTGACCATCTTGTGACACAAGAGGAGTGAGAGTGAGTCACAGGCCACAAAGCAAAGAGAAGCAAGGTCTGAGAAATAAGAAATCAAGCATCCAAACTACCCTTGGTGTACTGCTTGGTACAGAATGGACAGTGAGCAGAGACTTGCTTGGAGAGGCGTGGTAGCCATGTTAAGTGGTGGGAAAACAGCCATTCCCAGAGGGTCTTTTCTAGAGAGATGGCTACCTTGTTGACTAGAGATCCATAATCTCACATACATCTCTAGAATGTGCTCAGACAGTGATACATATATGGCACACACTGCTCTTGCCTTATTTTCTGAGATTTACAAGGCACACACTATTAAAGAATCTAAGAAATTCTGTAGAAAAAAAGCCTGCTAAACTTGGCTGACTAGCACACTTATTTGACCTCAAAGTCATTTCTTTTTTGATGCTACTTATTAACATTCCAAGTAAGTAGTGGCCTGAGAAGTTTAGCTGTAACTATAACTGAAACATGGATTAACCATAAATGTTGGCATAGTTACCCAATAAATAGAGCAAATGAAAATACTCCAAAGAGTAGAACTCTAGGGAAAATAAGCACTGAAGGAGAGGAAAAGGACTCAAGAGAAAGGTTACAATAGGGTCAAATGTGGCATGGAGACCAAGGAAGACAAGCTTAGTAAGAGTTTTTCTGACTTGTCAACTATGAGGCTAACAGTTCCGACTTCTAATTTCCCTTTGTCACATGTAAATCAGGGTAGATTAGTGAGGTTTGAAACAATCATCTAATGTGGAATTAATATTAGGTTTTTAAATCTCTTTTTAGACTAGATTTTTCTCTTCTGCAAGGTGATGAGAACATTATGATTTAAAAAGCTTTCTCAAACAGATCTAGATGGAAATATAATTTGAAGTAAGTATTCTACCCTGCAGATACCAAGTTATTTTGCTTTTTATAAGACATATTTTAGTGCATTTCTAGCCACTTGTACCATCAGGTTACCTTTAATGCTGATATGTGTAGGGAGCAAGAAAGATAGGGAACTTCTACTCATCCTGATGCCAGGATGAGTAGAACAGCGAGGGTGTAGAACTATTCCAAGTTCAAAAAGTATACTGGCAAAAGAGTCCTTGAAATAGATAAGATATGATTTATTACAAATAGAGGCTGAATATTCTTTTTACAGAAATTTATCTCAGAAAGTAAAATAAAACCTAGTAGAGGAACTCAATTATGTAAATATTTGCTTTATATGCAAAGTTTACATTCAATGTATAAAACAAAATCCTGCTGTATTGACTCACACTGTTTTATGTCCAAACTTTAAAATGTTTGACCTAATTGAAGTACTTATGAATAAAGTTTTATTATTTAGCTTCAAATACTATAATTCACTGAATGAGGTGGTGGGACAGTAGAAGTTGACCATTTTGGAACTGGGTGACAGGTACATGTAGCATATGAAAGTTCATTCTACTATTCTTTTTACTTGTGTATATGTCAAACTTTCTCATCTCAAAAAAAAGAGAAAAGGTCAGGTATGGTGGTACACATCTGTAATCCCACTCAGAATGAGAAAAGGTAGAGGATAATGAGTTTGAGGACAGCATGTCTCAAAAAAAAAGCAAAGTGTTGGACTCACCACCATAAGAGTCATCTCCTCCTTGAGGTCATCGTAACGTTCCTCTAGACGACTGAACTCATTCAGAAGGTTCTGATATCTTAGCCTCTCATCATTCAGATCAAGCTCCAGTTGTTTTGTTTCTTCTACTAACTTCTTCTCCATAGTTTCTGAAAAAAAGAAGGGACATATGCATACCACAGATGGATCCAAAGAATGAAAGAGTGTAAACAGGTGCAATGACTGTGAGGTTCTCTGCATGGTATATTCTTTTAGCACCATTATGATCTGTGAAAGTATCCCGTGCATGCAGGGAAAGAAAAAAATATGGCTGCCAAATGAAATAACTTAATAATAATAATAACATCTACTGAGTTCCTCCATGTACAATAGCCTTACTCCTACCAGGCAGCACATTTTTGGGAAACTTTCACTAGGCACCCTCTAGCAACGAAAGTATAAATACACTTTTATTCCAGTGGTATTCTATTTGAGGCTATTCATAAAATTCTTTCATCTAAATTAGTACTTAAAAAAAGTCAGAGGTGTTTCTCAAGGGAACAGTGATCTTCAGTGAACTTGGCTTTCCTATTCTACAGAGTTTGTCTGCTAATCTCAGTCCTGTGATTCTGTCTTATAATTTTATAGTATGCTGAACTCCCATGCTGTCCTAGTACTCCTCCATTTCTAACCAGGTACAATGCTCAGAACTGGTCATATGTGTTATTTACTTCTTAGCCATCTCCCATGTGCTGCTTGAGGCACCCTACCTTTTTGATTTACCCACCCATTCTGCCTTCTCTGCTGCCCATGCATTGCTTGCTTTTAGCTAGGATGTGGTTTGGAGAATAGAGATTAACTTCTGGCTGCAGATAACACAAAGTAAAAAAGTCACAATCTCAGCTGTACATTTTAACTCAATGAGCCAGCCAGTCACTTTTGTAATATTAAGCTTCCTACCACTATGCTTTTATCCTCATACTTTGTAGATAAATCTTAATCTGCCCTTCTTGCTTCTATTGCTCCACCATTTTTTTTCTCTCCAGCAGCTCCATGAGGCAAGGGAGACTAGTATCTTGTCATAATTACTTTGCTGGTGCCTACCACAATGCTTCTCTAGCATACAGCTTTCATAATTTGTAAATGAATGACTGAAAGAACTTCTTCTCTCTAAAGCGTTCTATAAATTTACTTTTATTCTCATCAGTTTGCAGAAGCTATTCCAAGGCTACCAACAAAGCTTCCCTAGACAAAACCATTGCTATTTTTCATTCTTATAATTCAGTTTTAAGTAACTTTTTATCTTTCCTAGAAGTAGTCTCATCAATCTGTAGCCTTCCATGACATTCTTTATCCTAGAAACTGTCTGTCCGTGTCTTTCGTAACTCTGTTTTCTCTTTTCCCTTTTAATGTTCTTTTCTTTTCCTTATTCCTTAGTTGTGGCAATTAAATTTCAGATTTTCTTCTCTTTCTTCTACATTGTCCCCTTTAATTGGGAAGGAAGAAGCAGTGTGGAGAAAAGCACAGAAGCCTCTCTCACCCACCATAGTCTTAGTGGGAACTTGAAGGCTCATTCTTTATTTTCTCTCTAATCTTTAAGCTGGGTGTGCTTTTAGAGTACCTCCATCTTAAGGCCCTAGCCAACAGCCAAAACTTAACAATTATCACGGTTAATTTTAGGTGTCAACCTGGCTGGATTAAGAGATAACTGGACAGCTGGTAAAACATCACCTCTGGCTGTGTCTGTGACACAGTCTTTGAAAAGACTGTGTCAGTGTTTTCAAAGGAGATTGTCCTGGGAGTCTGGGTATTGAGTGGGGAAGATATGCTCTTGGTGTGGGTGGACACCCTCCAATCAGCTAGGGGCCCAGATAGTATGTAAAAGGTAGAGGAAGAACAAATTCTTGCTGCTCTGACTGAGTTACAATATCTTCCCTGGTTCTAAGACCTTCAGACCTAGACTGAGCTACGCTATCAGCTTTCATGGGTCCCCATTAAGTGAGCCAATTCCCCCAAATACATCCCCTCTTATACATGTGTATGTGTACTTGTACCTATCTCTTTATATCCATGTCATATTGGTTCTGTTTCTCTGAAGAACCCTGACAAACACAGCACTCAAACAAGTGATCTCATTAATATGTCATGCACAGGTACTTTCCCTCAATTTCTTCTAATAGTTTCTTTGCTATCTCATCTAATACTTCAGAACATTTTTGTCTTTTCGCATATCTCATCAGAAATAATAGCATCCTGTTGATTATGTTTCATATAATCGAGCCTCATTCCAACCTGCCCTTTCACTTCAATTTCCACCACTAATTATTATTGCCTAAGCCTATATGTTCTTATCTCATGCTTAATAAGTGTGTGGATTCCTTTTAAATTATCACCATTCTAACCAATCCCTAAACAGCCATAGAATAAATGTCCACACTGACTTAGTTCTCTATTCAAAAAATGAGAGCTTTAAAATTTTTAGTTTGGTAGCCAAGAGTAGCTGATCTTAGGAAGCTAACATTCATTGTTTTAGCAAAAAAGTAAATTAATGAGGCCTAGGAAGTAAAAAACTGTCTGTTCTCGTTCGTGGAAGAAAAAAAAAAAGAGCTGATAGAAGAAGAGAATGGGATAGCACTCACTAGGGCCAAGAAAGGTAGGGGGAAGAGGAATGGGGAGAAGTTAGATAATGGACCCAAAATACAGTGACATAGGAGGAATCAGTTCTAGTGTTCATACAGTATATTAAGTTAACTGTAGTCTATTAACAGTCTATGATCTACTTAAAAATAATGAGAAGAGTCTGAAGGTTCTCTACAAATAGAAATGACAAATGTTTAAGGAGATGGAAATGCTACTTACCTTGGTTTGATCATTAATTGCAGTATACATATATCAAATTATTATGCCATTCCCCATAATTATATACAATGTCAATTAAAAAATAAAACAAAATACAGAGACATATATTTAGATATATTAGCTCAAAATTCTTATTAAATACGAATCTTATAAATTATATATGTGGAATAAATTAATTTTTAAAAATTAATTGACTGAATATGAGTTCACAGTGGTATACAGGGAGACCAGGTTTATAAGCTCACCAACTAACTCAACCAAAATATTTGCTGTTTTTAACTTTGTAAATTTACTGATAACAGCCTCAACTTTTAAAAATATTCAAATACTAGGGAATGTTGTAGCTGTTAGAATACTGTTGAACTTGCACAAATTAGGTGTAAGGCTGGATGGTGTGTAGCAGGGTGGGCACACATGAGCCTTACCTGTCATCTCCTTTGCCTGCTCCACGATGCGGTGGTTGAGGGTCTCTTTTTCCTGCTTCAGCAAGGTATTTTCTTCCTTTAGATTTGACATCAGCTGTAAAATATAACACTACACTGAGATGGTTGTAAGAGATGGGGGAAGTCCCATCAATGCATGTAGAGTCCACATAGTGTCAGTCAGTCCTTGCTTCCACCATCTCTCTGCCTCATGTCTTCATCTCTAGCCATCCATCACACTGGACTCAAGGGTTACCCTCTCCACAGAGACTTCCTGGAAACCTTTATTAGATGTCTTTTCTCTGGGCTACTACCTGACTCTGTATATGCTTCTTTACAGCCCTTATAAATTATTTACTTTTCTGTCTTCCCTAAAAGACTAGAAATTCCTGGAGGACAGTGATGGTGATGATGGTTGTTTTACTTGTGCTTTGAACATTTAGCAATTTCCTGGTACCTAGGAACCATTTGTTTTTAAAGCAGTGATAATTACCTTCTCACTCAACACTGCAACACAAAGCTCATGTGCACCCATGATTCAAGTGGAGAAATTAAGGAGATGAAGAAGGATATAAGGGTTGGCAGACTGGTTCAAGTGGTAGAGAGCCTGCCTAGCAAGCCAGCAAGTGTAAGGCCCTGAGTTCAAGCCCCAGTACCACCAAAGGGGGAAAAATAAGGATATGAAGTTCATTTTGGAAATTCACTGTAGACCTTCTGATGTTCCCTCCTAATGTTCCCTCCTATTTGTTTTGACAAATAGTATTTCCTTTTCAATCTTTTTAATGGTTTTGGAAGAACTAGTTCTTATTATTCCATCTTTAAAGAAGCACTGATCTTACAAGGTCAGAGAACTTACTGTCACAGAACTGCATACTTAAAAACAGTGAAACTGATAAATTTTATGTTATATACTACCACATTAAAACAAAAACAAAATGATTTGCCCTTTCTTGTTACTGGTTGGATAAGGATTCCCATGAAGCAAAAATCAAAACCAAAGGTAACTTGGCAGAGCATATAATTTACTCAGTCCATCTTTTGATAAAATATGTGCTTATAATAAATGAAATCTGAATTCCTTTCTCTGAGCCTAAATTCCAGGAACTCTCAAAATGAGAACTTTAGTAATATATAGAAAGGTGGTGAGTAAACCTCTCATCGCATCAGGGGTTCAGAGACAGGGAAAGGGATCTTTGTGACTAAGGATCCCTGGGGATCAGGAAAGTAGGTAAATAGCACTGTGTCACAGCTAGTCAGCCTACAAGTGTCCCTTCATATAGTCCAGTTTTTGCCTTCTATACTGATCTGGCCTTAACATCCGCTCTCAGTAGAAAGGCCCAAGTTCTCAGTGGCTCTCAGGAGAAGCTGCTCTTGATCAGGGGTGTGTGTCCAATCACCTGTGGTGCTTTTGTAAAAGGCAGGTGCTTAGCCCACATGTTCAGAGTCTGGTGTGTCATCATTTAAAAGAGATAATAAGAATCAGCTACAGCGTAACTTCTGGGCTTCTTGATCAGTCTGAATGAGAATGTTATTTTCCCAACCATAAAGCTGGCTGTCACTGTGAAATGTTTCCTTCTTTCCCTATTGCTACACTCCTTCCAAAAAAGTAATGTTACTTTTGTCTACAGCTATCCTTGTGAACAGTAGAAGATAATGAAGTAGAAAGAAAGGAGAAATCTGAATCTGCTCATGTGTCTATCAGACTAGAATGGAGGAAAGGGGACTCTTCCCACCATGTTGACATACTCAAAGGAAACATTCAGAGGAATGTGGAAAGCTTCAGGGACTGAGAAGACTTAGAAAAGAGATCTTAAAACGCAAGAGTACCTTTGAATGGACGTTTGAATTCTGCAAACACAAGCTCACCATGTCAAAACAATAGTACATAGGGGCACTACCATTATTGTACATGGCCCTGACTACCATGAAAGGAGGCAACTTTACTGGCTATGCTCTCCTGCCTCAGCTGTTCAAGTTCTCACTGCCTGTGCTGCTGCCAACATGCAGAATTCAGCACAGAAAAGGCAAATCAGGATTCTTGCCAGTGTTACAGCTGATGCAGGCAACCCTGTGTCACTTAAAGATGGGAATCCCAGAGGAATTTCTAAAAATTGATTACTATTTTCCAATAGGCCTTAGGGTGAGATATTTTTAGAAATGTTTAAGTAATGTATCTTATCACTGCTTGAGGACCTTACTATTTTCTGTACTCACTCCAGTTGTAATACATGTTAAAATGAAACTTGTAGCTTGAAAACACTGATGAGTCCATAAGCAGTGTGGGAATGTATCTGCACAGCAGCTCTTGGCTGTGGTCACTGTACACACATCTGGGTTTCTCCTGCCTGAACTTAACACATTCAACGCAGGTTTCCAGAATGATTCCTACTATCAAATATAATAGTTCATTGTTTGATTTGCTTCATAATCATGGTATTCTTACTTAATAAAAAGGACATTTGGGAGGCTGAGACAGGAGGATTGCACATTCAAGGCCAGCCTGGTTATACAGCAAGACTCTGTCACACACACACGTATGCATGCATGCACACACACACACACACACACACACACACAAAAGGGTCTCGATGTCTAGACTCCATTTAGACCACATTTAAAGAAAAAGAGTGTATAGCAGGGACTGTGGCATGAATGTGGCCCTGAATTTCATGTGCTGGAAACTCAACCCCTAACTTTCATGTGTTCATGATATTTGGAGATGGACCTTTGGGAGGTTTTTGGGTCTTGAAGGCTCTTCCCTCATCAATGGAATAACCCATTGTGGATGAACGGGTTATCAATAGATGGCTTTGTATAAAAATGAGCTTTGTCTGGCACACTTGCTCTATCTTGTCATGTGATACCTCTGCCATGTTTAGATGCAGCAATAAGACCCTCACCAGATGCTGACACCATGCTCTTAGACTGCCTAGCTTCCAGAACGATGGTTAAGTAGACCTCTATTGTTTAAAAATTATCCAGTCTTAGGTACTTTGATATACCAAGAGGAAACAGATTACAACAGTGGGTATTTGGCCATTAATTCCATTTTTCACCGTTGTTCTTATTAGAGCCAAGAGCTTCTCCTGAAAGGTTTACAGCCTACTCATTGATCATGAGGTAAAAATGCCTGGGAAACACTAATATGAACAGTAACCCAACTGACTATTGTATTGTACCTTTGATCAATATGAATGTTGAGCTAATGGAGTGTGTCAAGATGACAGTATATTTATTTTGTGTAAGTTGTAGATCAGGATATGGACATTAGTTCTCACCTGCTCAGTTTCTTGTTTGTATTTATCTGCTCGTTCTTCAATGGATTTTTTCTCTGATCGAGTTTGTTCCAGGTCTTTCCGGAGTTTAGCAATTTCTTCCTGCAGACTGAGGACCCGTCCAGTGGCAACCTTAGCTTCCTCCTCACTTAGTTGAAGACGTTCTAAGTCACTTCGTAGTTTCTCAGTCTCAGAGTTATATATTCCTTCCAGGTTGGTCAGTTTCTCCATGAGGCATTTGTAGTCTTTATTCTTTAAACATACAAATAAGTAACAATAAGTAAATATACACTTATAAGTAATCAAATATATTTAGTGAGAAAGCCGTGCTTATTAATCAGAATCTTGCTGCATTATCATAACACTGATAAAGAATCTAACCAAATTTGTAATAGTGAAACAATTACAGTATACCTTGTATTTAGACCAACATTGACTGCATGGACAGTCAGGACAGTAAATGTTTCCTTTGTGTGAGGAGTAGGTAGGAATGTGGACATTAGTTTCTAACTGCTCAACATTTACAATAACAAGTGACTAGAGAACTGCACAGTATGATTAATTGTTTTACACAATGTGCAGCACAGAGATGATTTTCTCATAATCACAACGTGACTTAAATAGTAAAATCTTAATTTTCTGATTCTTAATCCAGAAATAAGGGAATGTATACGTGCTTTTAAAAAATACGTACTAACTGGAATTCCTAGCCAGAGCAATTAGGCAAGAAGAAGGAATAAAAGGAATACAAATAGGTAAAGAAACTGTCAAAATATCCCTATTTGCAGACGACATGATCCTATACCTTAAAGACCCAAAAAACTCTACTCAGAAGCTTCTAGACATCATCAATAGCTATAGCAAGGTAGCAGGATATAAAATCAACATAGAAAAATCATTAGCATTTCTATACACTAACAATGAGCAAACGGAAAAAGAATGTATGAAAACAATTCCATTTACAATAGCCTCAAAAAAATCAAATACCTAGGTGTAAACCTAACAAAAGATGTGAAAGACCTCTACAAGGAAAACTATACACTTCTGAAGAAAGAGATTGAGGAAGACTACAGAAAGTGGAGAGATCTCCCATGCTCATGGATTGGTAGAATCAACATAGTAAAAATGTCGATACTCCCCAAAGTAATCTACATGTTTAATGCAATTCCCATCAAAATTCCAATGACATTCATTAAAGAGATTGAAAAATCTACTGTGAAATTTATATGGAAACACAAGAGGCCACGAATAGCCAAGGCAATACTCAGTCAAAAGAACAATGCAGGAGGTATCACAATACCTGACTTCAAACTATATTACAAAGCAATAACAATAAAAACAGCATGGTACTGGCACAAAAACAGACATGAAGACCAGTGGAACAGAATAGAGGATCCAGATATGAAGCCACACAACTATAAGCAACTTATCTTTGACAAAGGAGCTAAAAATATACGATGGAGAAATAGCAGCCTCTTCAACAAAAACTGCTGGGAAAACTGGTTAGCAGTCTGCAAAAAACTGAAACTAGATCCATGTATATCACCCTATACCAAGATTAACTCAAAATGGATCAAGGATCTTAATATCAGACCCCAAACTCTTAAGTTGATACAAGAAAGAGTAGGAAATACTCTGGAGTTAGTAGGTATAGGTAAGAACTTTCTCAATGAAACCCCAGCAGCACAGCAACTAAGAGATAGCATAGATAAATGGGACCTCATAAAACTAAAAAGCTTCTGTTCATCAAAAGAAATGGTCTCTAAACTGAAGAGAACACCCACAGAGTGGGAGAAAATATTTGCCAACTATACATCAGACAAAGGACTGATAACCAGAATATACAGGGAACTTAAAAAACTAAATTCTCCCAAAACTAATGAACCAATAAAGAAATGGGCAGTGAACTAAACAGAACTTTCTCAAAAGAAGAAATTCAAATGGCCAAAAACACATGAAAAAATGCTCACCATCTCTAGCAATAAAGGAAATGCAAATTAAAACCACGCTAAGATTCCACCTCACCCCTGTTAGAATAGCCATCATCAGCAACACCACCAACAACAGGTGTTGGCGAGGATGCGGGGAAAAAGGAACCCTCTTACACTGTTGGTGGGAATGTAGACTAGTACAACCACTCTGGAAAAAAATTTGGAGGCTACTTAAAAAGCTGGACATCGATCTACCATTTGATCCAGCAATACCACTCTTGGGGATATACCCAAAAGACTGTTACTCCAGAGGCACCTGCACATCCATGTTTATTGCGGCACTATTCACAATAGCCAAGTTATGGAAACAGCCAAGATGCCCCAGCACTGACGAATGGATTAAGAAAATGTGGTATCTATACACAATGGAATTTTATGCAGCCATGAAGAAGAACGAAATGTTATCATTCGCTGGTAAATGGATGGAATTGGAGAACATCATTCTGAGTGAGGTTAGCCTGGCCAAAAGACCAAAAATCGTATGTTCTCCCTCATATGTGGACATTAGATCAAGGGCAAACACAACAAGGGGATTGGACTATGAGCACATGATAAAAGCGAGAGCACACAAGGGAGGGGTGAGGATAGGTAAGACACCTAAAAAACTAGCTAGCATTTGTTGCCCTTAACGCAGAGAAACTAAAGCAGATACCTTAAAGCAACTGAGGCCAATAGGAAAAGGGGACCAGGAACTAGAGAAAAGGTTAGATCAAAAAGAATTAACCTAGAAGGTAACACCCACGCACAGGAAATCAATGTGAGTCAATGCCCTGTATAGCTATCCTTATCTCAACCAGCAAAAACCCTGTTCCTTCCTATTATTGCTTATACTCTCTCTACAACAAAATTAGAAATAAGGGCAAAATAGTTTCTGCTGGGTATTGAGGGGGAGGGAGAGGGAGGGGCGGAGTGGGTGGTAAGGGAGGGGGTGGGGGCAGTGGGGAGAAATGAACCAAGCCTTGTATGCACATATGAATAATAAAAGAAAAATGAAAAAAAAAAAAAAAAGAAAATGTGGTATCTGTACACAATGGAATTTTATGCAGCCATGAAGAACGAAATGTTATCATTCGCTGGTAAATGGATGGAATTGGAGAACATCATTCTGAGTGAGGTTAGCCTGGCTCAAAAAACCAAAAATTGTATGTTCTCCCTCATATGTGGACATTAGATCAAGGGCAAACACAACAAGGGGATTGGACTGTGAGCACATGATAAAAGCGAGAGCACACAAGGGAGGGGTGAGGATAGGTAAGACACCTAAAAAACTAGCTAGCATTTGTTGCCCTTAACGCAGAGAAGGGCAAAATAGTTTCTGCTGGGTATTGGCGGGGGAAGGGAGGGGGCAGAGTGGGTGGTAAGGGAGGGGGTGGGGGCAGGGGGGAGAAATGAACCAAGCCTTGTATGTACATATGAATAATAAAAGAAAAATGAAAAAAAAAAGATAAAAAACACGTACTAGTTAAATGATGCATAAAGATGAAAAAACAGACTAAAAGTCAGCAGTTTCTCACAATCTAATATGTTCAATAACTCAAAATTCCTTCATCTCATTCAGAAAACCTTTCTGATAAATCCCATTTCATTCTGATCCCTGTCATTCTATCCTTATCATTTATATATTCTTAATTACCTTTAGGTCATTTACATATGATAAAATATTATTTAGTTGCTATAACTAAGCAATCAATTAGACTATAGGTTCCTTAGAAGTACAGATATCTTCCTGCATGTTTTCCATTTCAGTGTTAAACAACTAATCCATAAAAAGCATTTTATACTACTTAAAAATAAATGATAATGGTGAGAGTTTTGCAAAGAAAGTTTTAAAAAGACTGGAAGTGGGTTTGGGTTAGGATTAGGATGTTCTCAAAAAAAAATTCCTGCCTTAGTCCTTGCACCTGCGATGTAACCTACAAGCGTAATATTATTTCTATACTGAGCAATGTCATTACTTTATTCTTTGCTGAGACTGAGGGGTAAAATCAACATTGAAAATGATCCCAGGGGACTTCTTCAGGGTTCCATCTGTACTGGCGCTTCTAAAGCCCACCTGCTCATCCACTTTGCGCTGCAGCTGCATGATCTTGTTCTCCATGCCGATGTGGAGCTTCTTATAGCGCTCCACGGAGCGAGCCTCGATCTTGAGCTTCTTCAGCTCACGCTTGGCCATCATCCGCCGGAAGCAGCACTGCAGGTAGATGATGGCATGCATGCTCCTCTTGTAGTGCGTACGAGCCAGCCAGCCTCGGACCCACTTCTGAAGAATGATTGCCTTGTGCTCACGGAGTATCTGCAGACAGGGCAAATAATGTGAGACCCTGGACTAGACTCAAGTTCAATTCTAACAACCTATATCAAGCTGAGGATCCATACATTACCTAAGGACATCTGGGGGCTGAGGTGGGAGAACTGTGAGTGTAAGGGCAGCCTTAGCTATATACTGACTGTGTTCCAGGTCAACCTGGGCTACAGAGTGAGACCCTGCCTCAAAAAAACAAACAAATCCCCCAAGATGAGAAACAAAAACACCCACAAAAGTAGCAGGAAATGTACATCCTGAGGCAATCCTTTTGTTCTAAATTGTATATTAGTTTAAGGCAATACCGTGACTTTTCGTAGTACTCCAGTACTGGCTTAGTATGCACAAGGCCCTAGGCTCCATCTCCAGCATCACATACTCATACACAAAAAATCATTTTTTACAAACTTCCTGAGCATCATACTCCAGTCAACACAATTTAATCACATTAATGTTATCATTTCTTTCTTCATCATCATGGAAAATTCAGGGTTGTGTGAGTCATGGTTAATGTTCTATCCATCTGTCATATATTTAACTGATTCATGTGTTTTACCTTGGAATCGGTGATTGTTAATTTATTAGGAAAAAGGGTATTTGCAGATGTGACCAGGCTAAGGATCTTGAGATGAAGATTAGATTATTCTGGTTATGAAGGTTATGAAGGTGGCATGAGAAGTCAGATACATTGAGAAGATGACCTAAAGACAGGGCAGAGATTGGAGTGATGTGGCCAGAAGTAGAAGGAGTGCTGGCAGCCATCAACAGCTGGAAGAGGCAGCAAATGGGTTCTCCCTTAGAGCTTCTGCAAAAAGTGCAGCCCTGCTGATACCTGGATTGTGGCCCAGCGACAATGACTTTGGACTAGAAAGGTCTAGTCCTCTAGAAAAGTGAGAGAATAAATTCCTGTTGCTTTAAGCAAACAAGTCTGTGGTTCTTATTACGTATTCATTTTTTTTTTCCAAATTACACAGACAAGAAGAAAAAGCAGGTAAATTTTCTTTTTGTACTATCTTATTAATAAATACATGTAGTGTTTAATACTTTAAAGTACATTTCAATTGTTGGAAATCCCCATGTGGCTTCTGTATCCACAGCAGCCTCTGTGGTACTTTATGCAGACAGAATTTGATTAATATTAATGGAATGGTAAACAAAGTTGAAAATAATGCCTCACCTTATGATACCTATTTCTGGCCAAGAAGCCTCGCAAATAAGACTGAAGAACAATCGTGGCAGCTCGTCTAATCTTGTACTTCCTACGGACCACATACATGCGCCAGTTCTTCTGTATGATGGTTGCTGCCTTGGTTCTGCGCAGAAACTTAGCATAGCTGGCCAAAGAAAATAATAGCACATTGTCAGTAATCAGTGACAGTGTCTTAGCCATAAAGAGTTGTGCTTCCATTGCATTACTCTAATAATGTGTGTGATAAATCAACATTTATATTCACTGACATTTGTACACAAATTTGTAGTTTTCCAAAATATTTTTGCTTCACTATCTTACTTGAGGCTTCTGTGATCCTGGAAAGTGACAAGTCTCATACTGCCAGATTTTACAATAAAGAAGGTGGAGTTAACACAGGTTTGTTCTTCCTAGGACAGGGCTCCTTATCCCATGCTATGTTCCCTTAACAGAGCAGACTGATGTACACACCAGTCCCTACTTACTTATCACCAGATGCCTTAGATCTACCCACTGTTAAGGTAGATTTGAATCTATTTGAGAATATGTTCTTTGTCATTAATTCACTTCTACTTGTTCTTCTAATGGAAATTGTTGATATATAATCACACTGATGTGCAATTCTTTTCCAGGCCTTCTCAGTTAATTGCTTCTGAAAGCTCTTCAATGGAGTCATTTTTAACTAGTTCATATTTATGACTATTTTAATTTACACATGATTTGTTCAAACTCTAGATGAAAGTACAAAGTAAAAATTCTGAGGACCTGAGTTAGCAGTAATTTATGTTTTGAAGATGAATCTGAATTAGTCATAAGGTTAATAAGCTAAATCTTATCCTATTTAACTGTTTTATGAGTTAATTTGTTATCCTTCGAAACTAACAAGTACTGAGATGCCATCTTCTCAGGGAGGATGACCACTCAAACCTGTCTTTGTTGGATAATGGATTAGACGGCACCTCACTCTTTAGGGCCTATGAGCCAGCATAGACAGGTCAAGACCTACCATCGAGCCTGGTAGCCCCGCACGTATCTTTGCACAGTGACAGCCGCCTTCTGCATGCGTAAGTACTTCTTCCTCAGAAGCCACCCTCGGATCGTCTTCTGGATTCTGATGCAGGCAGCCCTCAGTTTGTCTGCCCTCAGTTTTTCTAGATAGGCCACTTGACCAGCACGGAAAAAGATCTTTGTCTTACCAAACTGGTATTTGTCTTTGTCCTATTTTAGGAAAAAAATTTACATATTCAGAAATAATGACCTGATGAAAGAAACTTAAAAGAGAAAAAAATAAATCTAAAAGCAGAATCAGTAAAAGGATGAATTTATTAGCTAAAACTTGGCCTACTTCACAATTAACTAATGGAGCCAGATTTTTGATCCTATATAAGTTGAGGAAATAGAAGGGATTTTAAAGAAAACTGTAGGTTAAGAGTTATTTTCCAGAATTGTTCTACCTGGAATTATTATCTGAGGCCCAAAACTTGGTTGTGGGTAATAGGCAGCTATTATTTGCTTGTTTGTATTTTAAACATCTCAAGGGAATGGAGATGCTGACACTCCCTCTGACTGACCCGCTGTAAGCATTACATCAGGCTGTGTATTCCATGAGCAAGCTGAAGGGACAAAATACCAGTGTGAAGAATAAAGCAGAACAAAAAGCACGTGAAATAAAAGTTCAAAAACAGAAGTAAAAGCTATTGGGTATTCATAATAAAGTTAAAATTTCTAAAGAGTTATCTACTGGCTTCAAAACTACCTAAAACTAAATAAACAAAATTTCAGAAATGTGTTTAAAATTCTTCTATAAATTTCAAACTCCTTTCATAAAAATTATAATCACTTATATTGCTCATTGACTTTTGTGCATAAACAGAACTGAACAGTAAACATAGATATGCATGCTGTTTTGGATGATTTACCTTATCAAAAAGCATGAAAATTATTAACCATTCTCAGATCAAAAGAAAGGTAGAATTTATATATAATGATCCATACTATTATCTGAAATTCTAAGCAAAAGCATAGAAATCCAGTTATCACTAAAAGCAGATACTTCCTATCTTATACATGAAATCAGAAAATCAGAAACTTTTATATATAGCTAAAAAATCTAAAATTATTTAATAAAGTTTATACAGGAACCCTATCTACTCCTTTTTTTTTTTTTTTGGCAGTACTAAGGTTTTAACTCAGGGTCTCACACTTCCTATGCAGATGCTCTAGCACTTGAGCCATGCCCCCAGCTAACCCTACTTACAAAGTAGTCTTTTCCCACCACACCATCTCACCTCAGATCTGCCACCATCTTGCAGGCACCTCTACCTAGTCTCTGCAAAGCCCTGACTCCAACTCCAGAGTGGTCTGGGTGAGGAAGCAAGGAGTAGGATTGTCTCAACTTTCTGTTCCATGTTCCTATCTGAACCAGGTTAGAAAGGAGTTGGGTCAAACTCAAAAAGCACTAGATTTTACAAAACATTATTAAGACAGGGGCCTTGGTTCTTTCAAAGAAAAAAAAATTATTATCAAGGAAGAGAAATTACAGTTAGTTAACAGCTAGTAATTATAACTACCTCAAAATGAGGTCATCCATTCAGACTGGTATCAAACAAATAAAAGTGTTTTTTAAAAGTACTTTTCACAAATCTTAAATCCTCCAAGACCTACATCAATGATTCTCAAAGCATAGTCCTGAAACAGCATCCCATCACTTGGGAACTTGTTGGAAATGCAAATTATTGGCAACCTTTCTTGGAACCCCTCCCAACTCTGGGGGGCTCTACTCTCCCACTTTACACTTTTCTATCTCAATAAACTCTCCCTCTTTACACTTCAAAAAATAAAAAGAAAAGAAAATAATTGAATTGAGGATATAGCTCACTGGTAGAGTGCTTGCTTAGTATGTGAGAGGCCCAGGTTTGATCACCAGCACCCTCCACAAAAGGAGGCCCATCCCAGACTTACGGAATCATAAATTCTGAGAGTGGGGACCAACAATCTGTGTTTAGCAAGCCTCCTGGTGAATGGTGTACAGTAAAGTTTGAGAGCTCCCTAGTCTGACTTGCAAAACTACAATACTAATCTTTATCTCCTACCCATTTTGTTGTTGTCCCATACACAAACCAAACTGCAAAAAAAAATGACTTTACTGTTACCTGAGCAATCCTATGCTTTCCTACTTCTTCATCCCTTGCTCTTGCTTAGAATTTTTTTCCGTTTTTAGACAATCTTACCCCTCCATCAGGGCCTAACTCAAAACAAATCTTCATGAAATTATTTTTTCGTCCCACAGTTGAATGTAGTTTTGCCTTCCTCTGATTTCTTGTTACTCACCCAGCATTCGATATGGAGCCTATATAGACACTTATTTTTAATGCACATTACTTTCCAGGATGGACTTTGTCATTTGAGAATAATAATTACACCTCACCTGGCCTGGCGTCTTCTGAGTAAGTACTGGGAAAGTTTTTATTGATAGTGATCAAACTCTCTAAAAGGAATGTGTCTCCTGTCTGAATCCAGGCCTATCAATTCCTCACTAGTCCTAGCCTCCTAAACATAGTGAGCCCTGACCACCAAGACAGTGTACCCTTTACCCAGCCACTCCCAAATAACCTAGATTGGTGATATTTGACATGGAAGTTTCCAAGGTTTTCATGTGTTGGTAAGTCAGGGCCTCTGGCTAACATCTGTTCTGATAAAGGAAAGTGAAAGTCTTTCTCACCAGTATCAGTTTCTCTAACACATTCTTGCATGTTTGCTTTCTGTCACCCAGCACATCTTTTTGCTTCATTAGGACCCGGTAACGGCTGAAAAACTCTTGGTAAGTCCACCTATAATAAGAAAACCACTTAGCTTAAAGAGTTAGGAACTTTTCCCACCAGGCTCCTTGTATTTGAATGCTGCAGCCTCACCGTGAGGGGAACCCTGCTGCACTGATTCGGATGGTTTCCAGGACGCCACACGCTCTCAGTTGCTGCACTGCCCTCTTCTCATCAAACCTACATGGACAAATGACAGTCACTGGTTCACGGAGATCCAGGCTGAGCCAATCTCCCCACTTAGGGATTACATTTGTTTGTGAGGAACCAAGTGGATAAATTAGAAAAGAAAGCATTCAAAAGTTGGAACAATGACCAAAATGGAAAACTCCATGAGATAGTGAAAATTCCACAAGCAGTAAAAATAAAGAGCTGAACATTTCCTATGGTTCATATGCCATAAACTCAAAAAAAGTCCACTGAGAAGATTAAAAAACATGCATGCATGCTTATGCCATGGACACACACACCACATACATTCCTCTGCACTCTGCCCATACTTGTTACATGCTGTAACCTAACTAAAAGTTCTCAGAATGCATTAGCTCACTACACTGAAGACAGGTCAAGTTGGAGATTTCTAACAGGAAGGACAAATTAAATATGTCCCAATCAGTTACTTAATGTATACAGAATTTATAATGCTACATCAATGAAATATTTTTGTTTTGTATTACCCTTTATTTCACTCTAGGCAAATAGCATCTTAAAGTTAAAATGACACTAAAGGAAGAAGTAGAAAGCTTTCCCTCCCGCCAGATGACCACTCCTGTTACTCAGGGTTAAGTGCTGAGCATTCATCCAAGCTTTTACTGCACTGTCTGCTGGTGGCAGGAGGTGGGGTTTTGTAATGCAAGTCCATGGCTCAGGGTGTGGCAACTTCTTCCTGTTTCAGACTTCCTTCAGAGAGGGCTTCTTGGTGATGAGGGCATAGGAGGACTGCAGTCTTTCAGAACTACCCTCCAGTCTAAGGCAGGAACCCTAGAGAGCAGGACTGGCAAAAGAGAATGGAACTCTCATTCATACCCTGTAGGGTAGGAGCTATTGCAACCTTGAGTATATGTGTTTGGTCTTTGTAGTAATTTATGGGGTATAGTGTGATATTTCAATATATATATATATATATATGTATATACACACACACACAATGTGTAATGATCAAGTTATGTACCTGGTCTTTGACCCACAAATTTCACTTCTAGAAAAACATTATCCTTAGGAAATAATCAGACAAATACACAAAAATTTTTGGCAAAAGATACTTATTAGAACATTGTAGAGGGCTGGTGGAATGGTTCAAATGGTGGAGTGCCTGCCTACAACAGTTGGAACACCTCAATGATCATTAGAAGGGAAGAGTTAAATAAATGATGGCATATAGTGTGTCACGGGATACTCTCCAGCCCTTCAAATGATGATGTGCATTTTTATTTACTAATGTGGGAAGCATTCATAATCCATTAAGTTAAAAGCAGAGTTAAAACAGCAATTATAGCATGTGACCCTATTTTTCTCTTTCTGTCTCTCTCTGTCTTTCACATACACATACACACGTGCACTCATGCATGCACACATGTACACCCACACACACACACACACATAGCAGGAAAAGATACTGGTTAGTCAAGAATCATCAATTCGAGTTAATACCAGTTATCTCTCTGGGTGGAATGGATGCTTTTTCATTTGTTTTTATGCAGCTCTATATCTCCTGAAAATTGTTTTCACAATACTACAGGATCACTTTTACAGTTATGAGGAGTATTTCTTATTTTGGAAAAACCCTCCAAGAAAGATTCATTTTCTCTTCTTATATGGTATTTGAAATAGGATGAGGTATTGGTAAAAGCAGACATTCTCTGATGGCTTCACTAAGAAAAACAGCAGGTAAGCTTTTGCCAAAGTAGCCTTATCCTAGTTTTAACTCACCCTAGTTCTAACTAACTCTTATCCTAGTTTTAACTCAAGTCCAATTTAACAAAAAGCCCAGAAAAATTCTGGGCTGCCATAAAGTCAAAACAGAAAATAGAACCAGAAATGTTTGGTTGACCTCAATTTTTCAAATCCTTAGAAGGCTAATTTGTTCTTACAATCTCAAAAGGGAACAAAAACTGAAATAATTCTTACTAGCTAGTAGTTACCCTCTACAAGACATGAAAATTTTTCTCAATATCTTCTTCCTTATTTTGCTCTGGCACTAGTTATGCACTTTTTTTTTCAGTAGTTGAGAGACACTTACGTGAAAGGAAACTTGAAGTCATTCGGCTTAATACAGCGCACGTAGTGAGGAGTGGTGGCATTGAGGGTCTCCATAAGCAAGTGAAGGGAGTTTCGGAACTGCACAAAGGGCAAAAAGAGGCATCAAGGCTTTGTTGAAAGCCAAATAAGGATCAAAGCAATTTAAAATTCTCTTCCTACGACACTAATGGAGATGTCTCTTCTGCCTATGAACTTGACCCAACTTCAGAAGGTGAGCTGTTACTAACAAGAATGTGAAGGCTTTCAGTGAAAATCTGTCTAACCATTTGCATGCTTACTCTGGTAATTTGCCCTACTTCCATCCTTTCTCCCATTCACTCCCTTTTAATATAGGCCTCTGCGGCTTCCTGTTGTGAGCTCCACCACATGTGACTCACAAAATAACTTGCTATTAAGGGCACTCAATCAAGTGATGTGAAAAATTTGCTGTAAGACACTGAAAAAAGTAGCAGGTATTTTAAAAGAGTAGAAGGACTGAGCAGAGAATGGGTGAGACAACCAGAGAGGGATAACTCTCGGGACATGGGGTCAGACTGGAGGCTGAGGACCCATGTTGGGCCCTGCCGCGTCTACACCCGCACAGGGCCTCACACACAGGAAAACATGCTAGGCTGACTAGTACTCAGCCTCCCTCCCAAAGTCCCCACCCCACGTTCAGGCACTAAGCATATGAACAATGGTTCCTGCTCCTCACAGGGAAGAAGACATAAAGGAAGGAGAGGGTACTTTCTTGCACTGAAGGAGCTGAATGATGCTCTGTACAAATACAGAAATGAAATAATCAGAGAACTGAAACAAAGACAGTAGTGGTCCGAGAGAGATAATATGTAACAGAAGAACTGAGAATAGAAAAGATTATTTTGGGGAATGGTAACACAAAGTCATGGGTCTACAGCAAGTGGAAAGAAGTATGAGTGGGGGTGTTATTTGTTTGCATGGGGGAAGTGCCAGCCTCTCCTCACCTGAGGATCCCACCTGAGAGGCTGAAGGAGACCTGAGACTTCAGGTGAGCAGAGGAGAAGGAACCTGGCAGCAGTGGCTCCCTGAACTCACCTGATGACCCACTGTTTTCTTGTGCTCTTTGGCCATCTGGCCTGGTCTGCCTTTGGTGGGTTTTGCAGGAGTGCGGGTGAGTGGTGTACGCCCTGAAGAGGTGGCTGAGGTGGGACTGATGGACTTTTCGTCATCTTGAAATAGTTCTGGTAGCATCTTAAACTGAGTCAGAAACAGTAAAAGAAAATTATACTAAACCCAAACTCAAATGTAAGTTTTCACAGAAGAAACATTATAAATATTTTTAATAAGTAGTGACTTTTTTCCTTAAATAACCCTTATCAGAGTCACATTCAAGAAGTAATATCTGGGTTCGGAGCCAAAATATGAGGAAAGGTAAGATAAATGCCACAAAAATATGGAGGGAAATTTCAATAATTCTACAACTATATTTGGGGGAAAACAAAATCAAAACTACTATGTCCAGACTTGAAAATGTAATCCACAGGAAAGGGCTACTCTAAACATATTATTGGTTTTGAACTATAATTATTTTATGAGCAAAATATTAATTGAAAGACCTACCTTATCTCAGTCCCCAAAAGGCAGGTGGAAAAATACACTAGTCCGAATTTGCAAGTTATCAGGTGTTTACTTACCTGTTTCATTTGTGTACCATTAATTCAAGTCCTAGCACTAACTCAAAAATATCACTGAAAAATCTCAGCATGAAGGTGTTATAAGCAGGTTCTGAATATTGAAAGGTTAAAAATAATCATGAATTAATAATTTCTAAGAAAAATATTTATATTGTAGGGAAAAAGTAGAAAATCCTGCCCTTATCCTAAATGGTTTTACATTTGATTTCAAATGTAATTATGATTACTATCATAATCAATTTTTTATTCTGTCATGCTATAAAAGATTATCAAGAGATCTGTTATTTAAGAAGCAAACAGATGATATTAGTCAATATGGTTGGGAGAAATTTTATGGAACTAAAGAGATGTCAAACCAGTCCACAGGAACATCTCCACAGTACATATCTTTATAACAGTACTAGCTCCCATATAAATGAAATAAATCCTTTGTATAAGTCAAGTTACACTTGCAAGTACCAATTATTTATCTAATAAACTCAGAATATTTTCAGAAAGTTTTTCTTATGAAAATTCTTTCAATGAAAACCAAAAATCATGAGTTCATTTGCTATAATTGTGTATATCAATCATAAGGATAATTTGGGGAATAATTCATGATGAGTATAAAATAGCAATAATGGTTGCTTGCTGAACAAATGAATATATTCCTTGCTTTACAGAACAAATAATATATTAAAGATGAACTGTTTTAACATTATCATGTATGACACATTAAAGCTATGTTCCCAAGTATATTTTATGTGACAACTTAGCATAGGGCTAAGATGCTAGAATATTCAGTGATAGACCATGTACTTCAGAATCTTGTCTGTGATATCGTTCCCAAACAAGCTCTCAGCTCCACACAGGCAGTGTCCAAGCTTCGTTCTTATCTCTTCTGTATGAAATAGAGCTGAGCTCTGCCATGTCATCATCTCCAGAAGATGGTATAAATCAACTTACTATCTACCAGAAAGCAGCTTACTTACAGAGTTCAGTTTATATATTATATATATATTTAAAAATTTATAGTATTATACATGTGGATTCCTCTTCATAGACATTATAAATTTAAAATTATCTGCATTAGCTTTTCTTTAAAAAAAAACAGGTATACTTTTAGGCATGGTGGTACATGCCTGTAAGCCAGCACTCAAGAGGATGAGGCAGGAGGATCAGGAGTTGGAGAACAGCCTAGGCTACATAATGAGACCTTGTCTCAAAGACAATCCCCCCAAAAAAGTGAACATTTTAACTGATGAATCAGAAACTGCTCTGTAATTTCTTCTTTAGGCAGCATTCCTACTTTTTTCACAGGCCATTTTTTCAGATTTTTTTTCTGGCTTCTCCTCAGATCAGCCTTTACTAAAGTTGTTTGTTTGTTTTTTTTTTTTTTAATGGTACTAGGGTTTGAACACAGGGCTGCTAGGCAGAAGCTCTACTACTTGAGCCACTCCACCAGCCCTTAGGTCAGCCTTTGAAAGTTGGAATGTCTAAAGACTCTGGTCTCACCTCTACTAGTCTTTATTAATGTGTTCTCTTGAGGCAATCTGAAGCGGTCTCATGGCTTTAAACACCATCTAATTCTAAAGCCTACCAAACGTCTATCACCTGTTCTGACTTTCCCCTGACCTGCTTTCATTTCCAACTTCCTGTATGACATGTCCACTTGGCTATCTAATGACCATTTTAAGCAAAATATGTTTAAACCAGATATAAACATACCTCACACTATATTATCACAAAACAATTCTATTCAAAACACAAATATTAATCAATTGGTATTTCTGAAGGAACAAATTAATGCCGTGTTATGCTTGCTTTTCTCAGGTACAGAGAAATGATAAGTTCAGATCTCCAGGTTGGGTTTCTGCAAAGACTGGTAGCAAAGGAGGCCTTCAAACTAGGTTAGGCAAGTCATACACTGTTCACATTTAAACTGTTGCAATAGTACACAGATGAACAGTCCTTTGAATGACTTTAGAACACACAGCTAGCTACCTTCTGATGTTTAAGGGCCCCTTAGCTGATCAGAAAATTAAGTCAAAATAAAGACACAACTGATTATGGTTGCCTCAAAAATGAGAATGTTCTGTTTGAGCTAAATTACATTGGCAAAGTACTAAACAATAGAATGTCATGATTTATATTATTATCTATAAATCAAAATGATAAAGATGTTCAGCTGAATAATACTTAGGGATTGGCACTATGAGAATTTTCTTTTACACATCAATCCTGTTAACTTAAAAAGCATTACTACCCAATAGTAATGCTAATGTTAAAAAAAAAAACAAACTGACTTTTTTAATAGACACTTTGACTCATGATTTTCTAAGGGTTAAACCTGGGATTTGGTCCTTATGCAATTTTTATATTGTCAATATAACTGAAAGTAGAAGTTTTTATTCCAGAAACAAGAGTCAGAATGTTCATATGCTAGAGGCTATCCCACTAAAGTTAAAATAATGCTTTTAGAATAAACTAGAAAAAGAAGGAACACCAGTCAGTAATCCAGAAGAATTCACATGAAGATTTTTACTTTTTAAATGAATATTTGCAGAATTAAGTAACTGGCTTCCTGGTTTGTTCCTTGGAGGATGAATTTGAGTCCCACCTCCCACCAACACTCCCTCCCCACGATCTTTTCCACATGAAGGTCAAAGGGTAAAGGTAGGGGAATCAACCTAACAATGTAATGTAACCATGATAGTTCTCTGCCATCTGGAATATTTTTTTCCCACTGGAAAGCAGTGTTTCTAGTATCTATGCTTAAGGAAAATAATTTCCAATGCTTTGGGCCACTTCTGCAATTGTACTCAATGACGACTCAGTGATTGATCTCCATCTAGATGGAGTGCACCCAGCCATGATTCTCACACATCCTTTCAAATTGACACAGCAGTAAAAACCCCTTTCAGTCTCTCAAAAAGGCACAACCAAGTGCAGATTCACTGTAGAGACACTAATTCTGAAAGGTCACATTGCTTAAGACTAAGAGCAGACTCTGAGTAAAATAGGGTGGGTCGTAACCTGACTTGGAAATTCACTAGCCATGAAGAGTCTATGCCTCAGTTGCCTCATCTGTATGATGAGAGTAAAGACACTACTCCTTCCTGTAAAGATTAGATGTGTTAATATTTGCAAGGCATTGAGAATGGGACCTGATACATCATAGTGTTATATATTTGATAAGTAAAAAACTATAAGTAAAACTGATTTTGCTAGAAAAATTATTATTATTGCTAAAAAGCTAATGTCTAGATAACATTTTATTGAATATATCCTCATTAGAATATGCCTATCCATGGTTACCTTGCTTGACTTAAGAACTTTAATTTGTTCTTCAAAAACGGTGTCTTTATTCTTTTCAAGAAAGCCTTCACACTGATATTCCACCTGAAAACACATGGAAAAAAATCTCCTTAACTGATAATACTTTTGAACAGATATCATCATCAACAACAAAAATGTTTATTAGCTCAGGCTAGATGACTAGCTCTCAGCAAAGTGCTATCATCAGTCTTTCCAAAGAAATCAGTACCATTCCTGGTAAAGCTCCCCAAATACTGTTTTCCTAGGGAACAGTGGTAGTACTTGCTATTAATTGTGTGATCTAAACAATCGCCTCAATTCATGTGTGAGACGATTCATAAGAGGGAATAAATAGCTGTCTGTCTAGGAAGAGGTGAAGAGCTGATGACAGAGAGAGAAGCTGGGGGAATATCATATGATTTGGGAACGCATGACCACTTGAGAATGAACTATTTTTATTCTCAAACCCCAGTAACTTCAGCCATGTGCCACTTGAGCAGCTCTACGTCCTGTACCACAAAACCCTAAGGTGGCCGTACGGTCATTCCAAGGTTTCCAGTGAGGAGATAACTTAGAAGTCCTTGAAGGATACCTCAGGAAGCTGACCCCAAAGTCAACCTCACAACCTCCTTGAAATATAAGTTAGCTTCACAGATCCTGATTTGCTAAGTAAACCATTGAACTTGTGAAGCAGCATATCATTGTGCCTTGCTAGCAGGGACCCAGTGACTCCATCACAGAAAGTGACACAAATCCACAATCTCTATTCTGAAACCCATTAGACCAGCTATGCTTTAGAACACAGAATTTTTCACACATTTAGACTTGTAGTATGTACATATACCATTTTTAATACCTCCAGAAAAGTCTAAGGCAGCCATCTATAATACATATTATGTAAACATATTAATACTTCTACACAGAACCATGTAACTATCCACCTTAACTGGGATAAATAAAGACTATGAATAATCTCACATTAGTTTAGGTCAAAAATCAGGTTTAGCAAAAGACTTCATTTTCAGAGTTTTCCTGGATTTTAAAATTATAGAGAGAAGATTGTAGACCCATATTTATTTTGCATATAATTCAATTTAGGTTAAAGGAAGAGAAAACGAAGAAGTCAAAACTGAAGATTGCTTTTCCTAAAAGACGTTGAAGAAAGCAAGCATCAGCAAAGAAAAAAGTAATTCTTGGCTACTGATTTTTTCCCCTCGTTTAACTTAAGTATGAAAAGACAAAAAGATAGAAAGCTTTCTTACCTTGTCAGCAAAATGTTGGATGATGAAAGCTTTGTTTGATAGACGGGGCTTTTCAAAGAGTGCACATTTGTTCAAATGCGTGTTGTATAATTTTTGGGCCCAAGTGTCATCTGTACCTTTAGGCATCTACATTGGTAGGTGAAGGGGAAAGAAAGAAAGAAAATAACCTGAGTATGAGACTATTCTGATACATCAGCTGCCAAGAGATCATTTTTTAGCTTTACCTTATAGTTTTTATACTCAATTTAAGAATTCATTTTGAGGAGGGGGTCCGGGGAGCAGGGGGGAGAGGTGGCCCAAACAATGTATGTACATATGAATAAATGAAAAAACTTATAAAAAGCATCCATTTCTTCCACATTTCTCTCACAGGTTGCAAAACAATTACTAAAGAAGAGTATGGCTAAGATCTTCCCATGGGTGATCCAATCCAATCTTTGTGTGTCAACCTGCCTATATCAGGAGTCGTCAAATAAATATTTGATCTATTTTTAAAACAACAAAAGCTGTACAAGTTGAGATGAAATATAAAGCTAGAGAGGTGGCTCTAGTGGTAGAGCCCCTGCCTGGCAAGTGCAAGGCCCTGAGTTCAACCCCAGTACTGCCACCTCCCCCCAAAAAATATATATGGTTTTAAATTTCTGTTAAATAAAGGGAACATCAACACACAGTGAGATATGAATATAGTTCAGAAAGATATGAAATGGAAGGTAGTCTCCTCTTGCCACTTCCTCCAAATTCGCTATTTCTTCCTTGTTGTCCATGAATGAGTTCAATCTATACATTCTTTAAAAAATTTTTTTTCTTTATTCATTTATTCATATGTGCATACATTGTTTGAGCCATTTCTCCCTCCCTGCCCCCAATCCCCCTATACATTCTTTTCCTCTTCATCTTAATAGCCCTCACTAGGTTGTTACTAACTTTTTGTTATTTGAGGACTGCCGCATTTTTCAATTATACACATACAGCTTGGGTACTTTTCCAAGCATGTTCACAGGCTTAACTCCCAGTGACTCCATTCCTGGGTCACAAGGTATATGTATTTATGATTCTGATAAATGTTGCCAATTTACCTCTAAAATATGTTGCATGAATTCCTACCCTTCATCAAGAATGTATGTACAATATTTATTTAGTATTATTGAATAAAAGCTATCAAGTTTAAAGTCGCCCATTTGATAGGTAAAAAAGGGGGATACCATTTTTGCTTTGCTTTTTCTTTTAATCTCAAGTGAGGCTGAGTGCCTTTTCATTACATGAATTCTTAATGTTGTAAAATGCTTATGAGGATCAACCTGTGATTGTAACTTACTATATATAAACTAAAGAAAAATTAAGAGACAAATAAAGGTTATTTGCCTAAGATCACCCAATGATTAAGCGGGGGGGTCCAATATTTTTTTAACATGCACATCTTTAAATGTGAAAGCCAAAACTCCACACATATCTAATATGTCAGTAATAGAGAATAATTTGCAAATTTAAAAATTATAGCTATTTATTCTGGGTGCCAGTGGCTCACTACTTGGGAGGCAGGAGGATAGCGGTTCAAGGACAGCCCAGGTAAATAATTCTTGAGACTCTATCTTAAAAATATCCAACACAAAAAAGGGCTGGTGGAGTGGCTTAAGTGGTAGAGTGCTGGCCTAGCAAGTGTGAGGCCCTGAGTTCAAACCTCAGCACAGCTAAAAAAAAATTATAGCTATTTAGAACTATTTTCCACACTATCTTTTGTACAAATTTTTGCAGAGCTGGAGATTGAATTCAGGGCCTCAGGTATGCTATAAATGTCTTGAGTTTCTTTCAATACATTTTGTCACAAAAAGTATTAATGATAAGCAAATTAAAAACAAAAGTAGTGAAAACTGGTAGCAATTGGATCTAGTGCCAATTTATAATTATCTGAAAAGAGAAGGGAAATTCTCCCAGTTCTACGTGTAACTAGAATACCTGGGGTTGTGTGTCCCTTCAGAATGAACGTTAGAGTGATCCCCCCCCCCCCCGCTTGGTGACATGCTGGTACCTCATGGTATATCAATGACCCTTTGCTTGGGCCCTCTGGTCTTCAGACCTGTGTGTATCAGTTTTGACAGACTAAGCACCCTAGAAAATCAGCCCTACCTTGCATTCCTCATCCAGCAAATCCAGAATGCCCAGTTTCGATTCTATAAGATTAATACAAGGCTGATTATCATAAAAATCTATGAGTGTCCACGGAATTTGTTCCTTCATATACTCCTCTTGCTCCAATTTGAAGACATGCTGAAATAAAGGAAAAAAGCAGTCATCATTGGATCATTATCATAAAGCATATAATCAAGAAGTATGTTTCTATAAAATGTTAAGGGTATTAACACCATCGGAGATGGTTAGGTCTTCTGGCAATAGTTATGTCATGGGAAAAGCACAATGTATACACAGAAAAAGAAAAGAAAAACTAGATAGTAAAACCTCAGTTCTATAGGATTCTCAGTGAACAAGTAAACATAAGTATGTAAATGTTTGTTTGCTTGCTTGTTTTTGAGGCAGGGTCATAGCTGGTCTGGAACTCACTATGTCACTCAGGCTGGCCTCAGACTTGCAATCCTCCTGCCTCACCCTGCTGAGTGCTGTGATTACAGGCATGAACCACCATCCTGGGACTATAAATGTTTTAAATAGCTGATAAATGTAGCAGATTTTGTGATTTTTTTGATTATGCATATTTCTATGTACTTTTGACTTCTGAAATTACTGTACAAGACTACTAACAACACAGGACACAGGAATGCCTTAGGTGGTAATGAACAACTATGTACAGTGGAGACCCTCCAGATTACTGGACAGCCTATGTACTGTACAGTCTCCTAAAGGTCTATCTTAGTACATCTGCTTCATAATTATATAAAGGTTGGTCTTTTGTGTCTGCCTTGATTATTCTCAGTCAGGGAATCTATGGCTCAATTTTCTGGATTCATATCTAACACTGCCAGTAGCTACAAGCACTACCAATTAATTATTATTTCTGCTAAAGGCTTTAGCCACCACACACCATTGCTTCTTAGTTCTATTGTTGACTGTGTACTGTGTGTCAGTCACTGCACCCAGTCAATAACATATACATTCTCTTTGGGAGACTAGTGAGAGAAGCAGACAGAAATCAAATAATCACAAGGAACATGGTCACAAATGTAATGGCATTCCAAAGGAAAATAGCACAAACTGTGAGAACAAGAGACCTCATCTAGTTTGGAGACCAGAAGGTCAGGGTAGGCTTCCCCAAGGAAGGTCTTGTGATCTGAGCTCTCAGGATGAATGGAAGCTAAGCTGGTCCAGACAGGAAGGGCAATCCAACCACTGCCTCTGCTTCAGGCTTTACCCTGCACCCAGCCTGGGCAGCTGACATCAGAACTTCTAGTCTCTAGTAATAACTATTACTTAGAGTTCTTAGAGGGTTTCTGCTTTCTTTCCCTTTTCTCTTTTGTCTCCTTTGCTTCTTTCACACATCTTGCTATATTTCTAGGAACACTAGCCTTTTGTGGCTGTGGACCCCAAGCCCTATGAAACTTAGGTGACATGGACAGTTCCAATACTTACTATCCACATGCACTGTCCACTTTATTCTATACTTATTTTAATGTCACTCTTGGCTTACTTGCAGTATTTACAGTCTAACCAGCTGTAAAAACTCATAATCAAAAAATGGTCATCCATATGAATATTTATATCATGCTAATTACCAAAGTTCTTCTGTTCTTTTGATTAATGAGGATGTAAATAAGGCATCATATGTCAGCAGGGTGCCTTGACTGATGGTACATTGGTACCATCTTCCAAAACAATGAACTCATCAGTTTTTGCATATAGTCTCCCCACTGACAAGAGAAACTCTGCTCTTGACTTTAAATAGAGCTTATTTCTCATACATATCTTTGCATTTAGTGTTGAAAACCCCATGGATGTCTCAAAAATTTTGGATGCTCCATTGTCAAAGAAAGTTGGCAGGAAATTCAATATGGTGAGAGATCCTTGGTCAATACAGTAATGCCTTCAAGCACTGAACATGCCAATCACAGTGACTTTGATGCCAACCGATTCTGCCTGTAGACCTTACTCAGGAGTAACTCTAGGGAGCCAAATTCTTTACTCTGAGGTGCTGTGTTCTTGGTCACAGCTGATTAAACCAAGTGTGAGTACATGAGGGTACTGGGTTAAGTAGGCTCGCTTGCTTGGTTATCTGAATTGGAAAATGAGGAGATGATTAGGCAATTAGCAGTGGAAGCTGAAGCTGAAAGAAACCAAGATGAGCGGGAGCTAAGCATGTTAAGAGGCTGGGAAGGGTAGTCCAAACACTGCTGGTTTCACAGGAAGCTTGACATGAGTGAGGAAGCAGAAATCCTAAAAGAGCAAAAATACATACAGACTAGAAGGAAGGAATATACCACCTGATAACTGCAAGACAGAGTGGAGAGTTGTGCAGGGAGAAGCTAAATTGAAATAGAGGAAGGAGGTACATGTGAAGAGAGAGATGAGAAACATGGATACAGACAAAGAGAAGAAAAGAGAGAGAAACAAGGACAAAAAAAAATACAAGCAAAGACACACAGGGCTTCTGAGAAACAAGTGAACTAGTATTTAAGGAGGCTGGCCCTGGTTCCTTATAGTTCCACTCCCTTGTGCCAAAATATAGTGGGAAAGAGCAGAAGGCTTGGCATTGATTAAAATTACAAGAAACTTGGGCTGGGGATGTAGCTCAGTGGCAGAGCACTTGTCTAGCATCTGTGAGGCCCTGGGTTCAATCCCTAGGACTGTGAAATAAAAAAATAAAAATTAATAAACAAAATGCAAATGCATAGAGCCAGAGTGGTGGCACACACCTGTAATCTTAGCATTCACAAAGCTGAGGCAAGAGGTTCTCAAGTTTGAGTCCAACCTGGGTAACAGAGCAAGTTCCAGGCTAGCCTGAGCTACATAGTATGACCCTGTCTCAAAAATTAAGAAATTCAGAAATAACTTTGAGAAAAGATAATGTAAATTTAGTTTCTGACAGGTTTTATTAATATTCCTTATGTAGAAATTGAAAAAAAACCCAATCATTATGATGGAAACAGTCACAAGCCTAAGACCACCTCTACATCATTTCACTGTGCTAAGCACCTTAATTTGCTAAAGAAAGATGGCTCAAATATTTATCAAAGAACATGCAATATAAAAAAAACACCCAAATAAGCCAGTCCCACAAAGACAAATATTAAATGTTTTCTCTCATTTGTGCAAACTTGGGGAAAACAAAACAAACAAAAAAATCCCAAGTACATGATAATAAAAGGGGGACTACTAGGGAGATGAGGGGGATGGGAAAGGGGGAGGAGGGATAAGAAAGGGCAACAGAGGAGGTGAATATAATCAAACCGCACTACATACATATATGGAAATGTCATTACGAAGCTCCTTAGTCCTACAATTTATGTTAATTAAAACATCAAATACCCCGAAAGCTTTTACAACCTTTGTTTCATCCCTCTCAACTGCAATCTCATGGCCTATAGGCAAAATTTTTAATTCTTAGCTATTTTTTCTGATATTTATTTACATATTTCTAAAGAATGTGTGTATCAGTGACTTTCTGATTTATTGAATTGAATTTTTAAAAATTTTTATCAGACTGTACTCAGCGATACTTGTGTATCAAATTCCATTCTAGAAATTTCCTTATCATTTTCATAGATAACAAAAGTTTGAGAACAAGTAATATATAAACACAGCACAGTATTCTAGAAAAGCTGAAACTTTTTTCTTTTTTCGGGGAGGGGCAGTACTGGGGTTTGAACTCAAGGCCTTGCACTTACTAGGTGAATGCTTTACCACTTGAGGCATGCTCCCAAAACTTTTTCTCTTCTTTACAGGACTCAATAAAATCTAAAAATGAATTATGCTATAGATTAACTTTATGGAAAAATCTTTAGGTTACCTTTGAAAATGAGAAAGGATGGCCTTTTAAGCACACTTTACTGTTTTATACTATTATGGCAACTTGTGCACTACAACACAGTCTATTTTGAAGGAAATTTATGATTTTTTTTCATGCAAAAAACTTTAAGCTGGGTGTGGTGGCACAGGCCTATAATCTCAGCACTCAGGACATGTAGGCAGGAGGATCTCAAGTTTGAGGCCAACATAGTAAGACCCTGTCTCCAAAAACAAAAACAAAAAAAGAAAGAAAAGAAATTTTGCTTATCTTGCAATAAGAAAGATGTGGCTAAATTCATATATACCACCTTTTTGCTGCTCCTTTGCTATCATCACAATATTACAATTTTTATGTCCTCTTTTGATGTTTATTAATTTTATAATTTAAAATAATCTCTTTAAACTTCCATTTCTTGTTCATTAACTATGGGCCATATCACTTGACCTCTTTTCACAAGATTAAGACAGAGGTACCGATACCTGTCCTGCCTTCAGCTCTTTTCTCTTATCTTCCAATTCCTCAATGGCTTTGTTTGTTTGTTTGTTTGTTTTGTCACATGCTAATCACACACTGTTCCACTGAGGTTACATCCCTGTCTCTGGTGGCTCATTTTTATGGTTTGTTGTTGTTTTCATTTTTTGAGACAGGGTTGTGCCATATAGCTCAGGTTGACATCCAATTTGCTTTGCATTCCAGGTTGGCCTTGAACTCATGATCCTCCTGCCTCAGCTTCCTGAGTGCTGGGATTACAGCTATGTGTCACCATGCTCAGCTGAGGCTCATTTTTAGTATCCTCTTTCACCAATACTAACAACCCACCCCAATTTTGCACTTAGAACTGGGCATAGTCTGTGATGAACACTGTATATATCCCAACTCATCTAATTCATAAAGCCGCTCTCAAAATATCCCCGTTACACTATCTTGGCGAATGGCTTTGACTGTTGAAAAAAGAATTAATGAAGTTCTGAGGTTTGGTTTTGCCAGCTTGCTAAAACAGCAAGTAAGAGTTCAGATAGTCACAGCTCCTGAACTATTGTTCAGGAGGGAATTGCAAACACAATTACCTTTGGAGTAACAAGCTGGAAGATACCCCTAGCTCAAAGCATCATATTGTCTGTGCTGGCACCTAAGACTTCCTGCTTCTCTCACTCAATTTATTTGCCTCAAATTTTCTTTATTCCAAGACAAGAGATAACCATCAAACATTTTTCTAATGTATCAATTTTCAATTATCAGTTCCTCAGCAATTTAGCTATTCTAAAACTCATATAATAATTATAATTCAGAGATTCATTTCAGAGTCTAGGCTTTGAACAAAGACTAGGAATTCAAGAGAATAATTTATAGCAGAATATTATTCAAGAAGGAAAATTCTTACCATGTTGAATTGTTGCTGTAGTTTTTCATTTGCATAATTTATGCAAAACTGTTCAAAACTATTTATCTCAAATGTTTCAAATCTGTAATACCAAAAATAAAATTGGAAGGAAAGAAAAGAAACAAACAGCTTTTTAAAAATATTCAAAATGTGCACATTAGGAAGAAAAATGGGAAGTTCTTCAAGATTATAAAACTTCCTTTATACATTTGTGAAGAAAGAGGTTTAAATTCAGAAGTGCAGACTGTGCACCCAGCAGATGAGCATCAGCCAAGACACAGTCTTTTTTTTTTTTTTTCAGAACTGGGGTGTGAACTCAGGGCCTCTCACTTGTAGGCAGATGCTTCACCACTTGAGCCACTTTGGTTGTTTTTGAGATAATGGACTTGCATTTTTGCCTGGGTTGGCCTTGACTGTAATCTTGCTACTTATGTTCCCTGTGCAGCTGGGATTACAGATGTGTAGCATCACCCGTTTGTCTGTTGAGATGCGGGTCTTACTAACTTTTTGCCTGGGCTGGCCTCCAACTGCCATCTTCCTGATCTGTTTTCCGAGTAGTAGAGGTGTGAGCCACTGTGTCCCTCACAGAGATTTTTTTAGAGGTGCTCAACTCTGTGAGTTTTAGAGGCTCGTTCGTCTTCAAGTGGGAAACAACAGGACTCTGATAAAAGTCATTGCTCCTGTCTGTCAGTTATGGGCTTAGCATCACACACACACCGAATGGAACTAGGAAGAGATCTCACAGATTTTCTTTAGAAAAACTGAATCAGAGAATGAAAACTTAGATATCAAAGAAGCCAATGCACATAAAGGATTTTAACAAAGAAAGATACTCAGAGAGGGTAAACTATCAAATGAAATTGGATATTTAGAAATTCAGTGATAATGTACCATATCAAATCTGAAAACCAATTAATTCCACCCATTAGCTTAGTAAATTAGTTCTGGAGCTGAGCTAATGTTTTTTGTTTTAGTTAAATTTTAAGCAGCAGGCAATTATATCACCATCATCAAGGTAGTCCTAAGTTGTTGTAGGTGGGGTTTTCCTTTTCTCACCAGCAGGAGACAAAATTAAGTACCCCTCAGAGTTACTAAATACTCTCCACAAAGAAATGCTCTCTGGAAGACCTGTAGGCAAATGCACTCACCCGTAAATGTCTAGCACACCAATAAAAGAGTGCTGCTTGACAGCTGAGTGGAGAGCCTGATTGACGTGGTCTACAATCCAGTTAAAGAGCTTGGCATAGATGTGCTTGGCCAAAGCATCACGGGCATTGGTGGCCTGCAGCTTGGAGATGGGTTTGATGTACGTCTCCGTGGCTGTGGCCAGCTTCCGGTGACACAGCCAGTGACACATCTCCTCATAATCCACGCCCATGAGGTCACAGAAGATGCCAAGAGGTTCATGCTTGGGCTGCCAAAAGAGAATAAATTATTTCCTATGGCCAGATCAATCAAATAAGAATTTCCTAAAAATGTTAACAAAGAGGTAACATAAAATTTAGCAATTTCTTTGTTGTAACAAACATTATGATCACTCACACCTGAGCAGTGACAGTAAACACAACCATCCATAAACCTGCATCTAGGTAGCATTTTGAAATTTCTTTGAAGACACATATTTATTTTATTTATTTATTTTTGAGTAAAAGTAACAGTAAAGTTTATTAGAAGAGGAATAAGGGGGGAAAAAGAGAGAAAAGCATTTCCTGTTCCTCATGCAGGAAATGGGAGCAAAGACTCTGAGGGCACATGTTTTTAAAAGTTTACCTCTGCATAGATTTGCTGTGTTTCTCTTAGGACACAGTCATTCTGTCGATCAGAAAATCAGTCATCTAGTCAACAAATACTTGCTGAGTGCCCACTATGCATAGTAAGCAAAAATAGACATGGGCCGCTCCCACAGGGAGCTATAGTCACTAGGGGAAATGGATATTAACCAAATGATTACTCCCTAAAATATAAAATACCACAAAGAAGGACACTATGCTAAGAGTTCGCCTGAGAGGACTGTGCCGTATCCAGGGATGCAGGAGACGGTTGCCTTGAGAATGGAGTTGAAACCCGAAGGAATGGAAGGTACTACTAGGCTAAAGGGGGAGGAAAGAGCTTTCCAAGCCAAGGGAACATGCTGGAAAACAGGTTCTGTGGTAGGAGGAAAGCCACCCATAGGAGGGACTGAAGCTGAGCAAAGAAGAAAATGTGTAAGATATTTATTCTCAGAGCAAAGACTGGGTGCTGAAGGGTTCTTCAAATCAGAATCTCTTTAATGGCTTACATATCCATAGCCCTAGAATGTCTTTAGTGAATCTTACATGAGTAGGTGTTTGATAAAAACTTGTTTAATTTAATATATGCTAGTGCATTACATTTCCACATTTCCACTTGTATAATTGAACCTGGTATCATTTCTTGGGAACAGCCAGGATGAACATTGTGGTCTCTAATTGAAAAATGAGGAAATGAAGTCCAAGAGAACAAAAAGCGTGTTAAAAATCACACAGCTAATTTATGTCAGAGTTGGCATTAAAACCTCAGTCTCCTGTTGTGTTCATCCAGGGCCCTTCTCATTCAAGCAGCCCTTCTTTCTTTCAAACCCCACCCTTCAAGTAATCACTTCAGATACAAGTCAGTGACTTCCAAGAGGTGGAAGCACATGTTTATAATCCCCACACTTAGGGGGCTAACTAATACAAGAGGATTGGGAGTTTGAGGCTAGTCTGGACTACACAGCCAGACCCTGTCTCAAAAAACAAAACAACAACAAAAAGAATGTTAAAATAAATAATACGGTTGGGTTGATGGCGTGGCTCAAACGGTACAGCACCTGCCTAGTAAGTGTGAGGCCCTGAGTTCAAACCCAGGTACCATAAATAATACATACATACATACATAGTGTGGCTCCATCTACAAGGTCCTCAAATCCTAGGGGGTGAAGGAGAACTTTCAGAACAATGAGATCTGGTCTGTGATAAAGAAAAGCAAAGAGGGAGGATATGCTCCCAGATCTGCATGTTAGAAATCCCTAAAGTTGGTTAGGGAAGAGGGGCAACTCCCTATCTCCCAACTCCAGAGAGAATCTGAGAGAAGGCAGGAGAGAGGGCAGCTGAGCGTGTAAATGGCTAGAGTGTGGAGTGTGAGAAATGGGAGAAAAAACCTGAACAGGAAGTCAGGGTCAATCATGAAGGGCTTTCCATCTCATGCCAAGTCAAGGAATCTCCCACTTTACATGCAGACCCCTAATGGATGCTTGAAAACCCACATAGTTCTAAATTCTCTATATATATATACATCTTTTCACAATTAAGTACAGTAAGAGATCAATAACTACTAATAAAATAGAACATTTATAACAGTATACTATAAAAAAGTTATATAGTACAGTACATAACAAAAATTATGTGAATATTTCTCTCCTTCTCACTATACTTACCCTTCTTATAATGATGTGAACTGCATGTGATGAGATGGAGTGAGGTGAGTGATATAAGCACTGTGATACATCATTAGGCTACTACATAGGGCTGCTTGACCACATGCACTGTGACACCTCAGCAGTTGATCTGAGAACTGAGATGGCTACTAAGGGACTAAGGTGGCAGCATATGCCGTGTGGACATGCTGGGCAAAGGGATGATTGATGTCCCATGTCCCAGGCAGAATGGTGCAGGACTTCATGAGATTGTATCATGCTACTTAGAATGGGATACAATTTAAAACTCATGAATTGTTTATTTATGGAATTTTCCACTAATATTTTCAGATCAGAGCTGACCACAAAACTAAAACTGCTAAAAATGAAACCACAGTTAAGGGAGGAATACTGTAAGGTGGTTAGCCTACTCCCGAAGGCAGTGGGGCTACCTAAAGAACTTAAGCAGGGGCGTGATATGATCCTTATAACTCTAACTTTTATAAGTGTCTAATCCTATGAAGCCATCTATGTCATCATCTATCCATCTGTCTATTAATCATTCTACATATTTAAGATACAATATGTATATACACATTTTTACAGTTATTTATATACATACATACACACATCTGTGTACTCTTATATAGTCATATATACATACATATGGAAAGTAAAAATACATACTTTTTCTTTTTAGTGCTAAGAATTGAACCCAGGGCCTTATGCCTGCTAAGCCCACAGGGTTAGCTACTCTACAGCAGGGTAAATCCCCCTGAGAATTTTATGCATTTTAATAGATAGAGGTACCTGCACCACATGCAATAAAATTAAAAGTGATAAGTCACTTTCTTACTCACCCCCCACCCCAACACACAATGTAGTTCCTCTTTCTAGGATTAAGCACTCTTAACACTTTCTTCAGTAGTTTTCAACCCATATAACATTTCGACAGATGAATACAGAAGGTTATCAATTCTTGGTACCTGTGCCATGGGCCAAATGAGCCTCTCTAGACCTATCAATGTAACTTCTACATCTTATTAAATGTAACCAAGTTCATTCATGTTCTCTCTTTTTCTCTCTCTCTGTCTGTCTCTCTCTCTCTCACACACACACACATACACACACACACACACACACACACACACACAAATCACTGTGCACAAGGAATTAGAAGTCATATGCAATTATGCCTCTGATAATATCAGACTTAAAGATTATCACTTCTACAGAAAATCAATAAAACTAGGAGCTGAGGCATAGCTCAGTAGTAGAGCACTTGCCTCCTCCATGTGCAAGACCCTGAGTTCAATCCCTAACACCAACCAGCAAAAAAAAAAAAAGAAAAAAAGAGTCAACAGAGTCAACAAAACTAAAATTTAATTCAACCACCATCCATTAAACTTGTTCTGAACTTACAGGTATTGTGCAGCTATCTGAATCTCGAGATGTAAATCCAACATTGCCTAAATGAAGGATGCCAGCAAGAATTCGAAAAATTCCCATTTGATAAGATTCACTAATCCCTGAAATAAATGAACAAGTGATTAATTTCAGCATAGCAACTAAACAATTATGGCAGAACAATTAATGCCAAATGTTGTACACATTATAATGAGTCCTAAGTAGCAATATTTTCCTCTTTGTTGACAGTAACACATCAGGCAGTTTAGCACCACGGGTGACAGCATGGGCTGTGGAGTGTGGCCAGCTGGGCTCAAGGTGCCATGTGCAGGTAACTTCACCCTCTTTGCTTTTATTTTCTCATTTGAAACGTGGGAATGACAGTGACTTCTTCAAAGGAAACAATGCACATAGCACACTCAACACACGATGGGCACATGGTAAGAACTAAACAAATCACCATTGTCACACTCTGTATTTAAGTATTTCACAAATATTACTGCCGCCTTTATCTCTACTCCAGATGCAAGTTGTTGTCCAGTAGCGCTGTTTTAAGTTAGATTATTTACCTCTGCTAACTACAGACTGAGTCTAAATCAAAGATCCCAAGGTTAGAAGTGTTCTGACTGGCTTTCTACCCTGGGTTGATGAGTGAGTGTCCAGCACTGGAGTTGGACCTAAAGGATAAGATGAGAAAGCTGGACAGTATTTGACTTTTATTAGGTCTGGCTTCGTATTTCAGTAAAGAACGTAATTTCCAGAACATCAAATGTAATTATATGTAAGTAGTAAAAGTATTTCTAAATATGTAATCTGGTACAGGGTAATTCAGATTGACCTTACATGAATGTTCTTGGTATTTCCTACACAATGGCTTTTTCAAATTCATAGTTTAGCTCTAGAAGTGAAGCAGCATTTTTACAAGCTTTACTATTCATGTGAATCACCAACAAATTTCGTTATAAGCAGATTTTGGTTCAGCAGATCTGAGAAGGGGTAAAAGATTCTATATTTTGAGCAAGCTCCATGTGGCTCAGGACCACACTTTGGTTAGCAATGTTTTTTAATTAAATCAATTCACTTGAGGGTACTTCAAAATATCAACATATGATTTTTTTGAGTTGTTTATATCTTGAGGTATTTTTTTTTAAAGAAAGTAATTCACTTCTAAAATTTGTAGACTATGGCTCAAAGGATTAATTTAGATCCAATGTTTTTTAAGTACCAGAAACACAACATGACATCTGTGCTGTTTCAAAAACACTGGAATAAACTATATGTAACACAATGTTCTGTCACTATGCCAACTTGGTCACATTTCCTAGCTAAAAAAAACTTTAAAAACAAAACAAACAAACAACCCACCCCACAAAATGTGAGCTTGAACAGGAACTCATTTCATTTAGCTTTAGGATCTAGATTTTTATAAAAATGTAAGCAAAAAATTACTTAACTCTTATGATGCCTCAAATATACTTTTTAAAAACACATTTTATGGAGGGTCAGTTTGTTTACCATAAAATTTAAGTATTCAATGATCTTCAATAAATTTAAAAAGTTGTACAACCATTACCACAATCTAATTTTAAAACCATTCCATCACCCCAAAAAGCAATCTTGTGCCCATTTGTCTGAATGTACTGCATGATGCATGTTAAATCTCTCAGCATTGCTCACCGTTTGATGCAAAGCCAAACCAATACAGCAAACAAAGGTCACTTGAGTAAAAAAGTTATTGCTCTTAAGAGCTCAGGAAAAAAACTATATTACCTAGCAGAGTGCAGGCCTGCCTCGTGTGTGCCATCTCCTTTGCATCATCCACTCCTTCAATCACAGGACTACCTCCTTGCTTTGTGTAATGAAAGTTATTTGCATCTCCTGCAACGAAGGAAAATAAGTTTTGCACACTATGAAAAAGCTATGACTTCTGCACTTATGACAACACTGAATTAGAAACAGTGATAGCACATTTAAGTGTACAGGGTCAGAATTCTAACTACCTGTGTTTTCAATTATATTTTAATACAAAACTCAAAACTAAATAATGGAGTAGTGTTTATAGTTTATTATCTTAATTGGCAAAATGAATAGTACTTTCCTACAGGCTTAATTCTAAACTACACACTAGGACAACTTCCTCCAACACTTTAATCAAAGCAGATTTTAAATATATACAAAAGTAGAGAGACTAGAATAATGAACCTCTATTTACTTATCACCCACTTAAACAAGTATCACCTCAAGGCCAATCCTGTTCTATGTATATGGTCACTCACTCCTTCCCCATCCCATAGGTTATTTTGAAGCCAACTGCATACTTTAAAAAAATTATTTTACTCATAAATATTTCAGTATGAACTAACATTCCATTTAATAAGTAAGTCTGGGAACCCAGAAATTAACAAAACAATACCAACACAATAAACCTAGTGCCACCCTCATACCTAGTCGTAGCATTTTAAATTCAGGCAACTTTGCTGAGGCACAAAGCTGATAGAAGATGTGATAGTTTCTCTCCTCTTCTGCCTTTGAAACAAGAAGAGTTTTCAATTACAGCCTTTCAATCTAACACTCAGAAATTTCTATCATAAAAAACAACTTTAATATTTAGTTATCTCAGTTGGTAAAATTCCCAAGTTTTCTAATACTTGTCTTAGGATCATTAACACATATGATTTATAGCCTATGTGCAAGCCGGGCACTGTGGTGCAGACCTGAAGCTCCAGCTAATCAGACGGTGAGGCAGGAGGATGGCTTGAGACTACAAGTTTGGGGCCAGCCCAGACAACGCAGTGAAAACTTGTCTCTTAAAAAATACAAATAAAAATATATACAGTCTATATGCACATGTATATACATGTGTTAATCACATTCAACATAAAACACCTGCTGATAACACTTTTTGAATTGGTGAAAAGCTTGATATATGGCAGATCATAAAAGAAATGCTTTTAGTAGAGGTAAAAACAATTTTTTTTTGCAATACTCAACACAATTTTCTTTTTTTTAATTTTATTGTTTTATTATTCATATGTGCATACAAGGCTTGGGTCATTTCTCCCCCCTGCCCCCATGCCCTCCCTTACCACCCACGCCACCCCCTCCCTCTCCCCCCACCCCCTCAATACCCAGCATAAACTATTTTGCCCTTATCTCTAATTTTGTTGAAGAGAGAGTATAGGCAATAATAGGGAGGAACAAGTGTTCCTGGTTGAGATAAGGACAGCTATACAGGGAGTTGACTCACATTAATTTCCTGTACGTCAACACAATTTTCTAAAGATACCTTCTACCTTTGCCATATTTTAGAGTCAACCATCTTTTGTGGTTGTAAGAAATACAGAAATGAACTATATCTTCTGCATCATCTTAGTTTATATAATATAAAATCAACAAGTATTTCATAAAATAAAAATAAATCTTTTCTTATTCTAAGGTCACTTTTTAATGTTTCCTGAGTCTTTTTCCACATATACGCCTAAAATACAACTATAATAATACTGTTCATACGAAATTGAATCCAAATATTTTGTCATCATACCTATGAACTCTACAGTGTTTTTAGTTGGATAAACATTAGTATTAATAAGGTCAAGGTCAGGTTTTAGTGCCTAAAGAAGGTTGATGTCTGGTACAGAAAACTTATTACAGGGTCAGAAGACACTGAGAAATTCCCAGCATACTAATGGTCCCAAGTATGATAGGCAAGAGATCAGGAGGTTGAGCACACAGAAACAAGAAAAGCAGGAGGGTCTACAGAAATACTGTCATCCAATCTGTGTGATTCATTTTGACATACAAACATTTCAGTATTCTATATCCTTAGGAATTGAGGCATAGCTAGAATTACTACCATGTCTCTAGTCGAGACAATAAGGACTAGGCTCTACCATTTCAGATTAAGTACTACTAACCTTTGGTCAACATGCTGACCAAGGACAATTTTTCCTATCCACTTCACCCTTTACTCATATCAGTCAAATCTTTCCTATTTAGGCTCAATCTTCTTTTAGGTCTACCTATGTCTTGTTTGTTCTTTCTTCTGACTACTAAAGTTGACAGTTTTCAAAAAACCCTACCAACATATTCATGTATAAAATAGCACTGCTCTGTATGTACCTAGATATTTGAACAATGGTAGAAAGTGGCTGCTGAATTACTATTCAAATCAAGTATTATATTTTAGGAGGTCATAAATGAAGCACAATCCCAAATCAAAGTCAGGGTAGCTGACCACGGCTACAACTTACAACTCTTGGTATGTCCCAGACACTCTCAAGATCAGAACAGACTTAAGCAATAGAAACTGTGTACCCTGCTACATGGTAGTGCCAGGGGTATTTGAATCCCAATGCAGTGGGCATCCAGTTAAGGGCTACTGAAACTTCAGATCTCACAGTATGAGTGTGGAGTGGGCCAACAGGAGTCCCAAATACTGTGAGTTTTCCAAAAATAAATCTACACTCCCTAGTATGCCATATATGAATGTATGCCTGCTAGTGTTGCAGATGTGTAACATTATGTCCTTTCCAATCAAAGAGGACCAAGAAACCAGGCATACTGACACAGACCTGTAAAACCAGCACTTGGGAGGCTGAGGCAGGAGGATTTTGAGTTTGAGGCCAGCCTACACTATATAGTGAAACTGTCCTTAAAAAAGAAAGAAAGAAAGGATCAAGAATGTATGTGTGTATACAAATCCTGCACAAATGTATCAACTGTATCCTATGACAGAAGTTTACAATTGAGTTATGAGGATTTAACTCTCAATATCATATTCTAAGGGAGGAAAAGGAAAGAAAGAGGATAGAGATAATTTTTTTTTTTGAGCTGAGTTCAAACTGTAACTCACTGAAGGCCTAAACCAATACCTTACCTAACATTTGGGAAATAACAGAGACAAGACTAAATAAATAGCACCCCTTCTTAACTAAGCTTTTCAACAAGCATATGTAGAAAAAAAGTCAAAACCATTAAACCTAAACCACTGCCCACTCACAAAGACTATTAGTCTAAGGAGGTATTAACTACATGCTGCCATCCAAGTGTGGTTTGCAGTAATATCTTGACAATATGCTCAAGGGGATCTAGAAATAAAATACTTTCCATACAGCAAGCATCAGCTCTGCAATTATATACCAATCTAACCCAACTGTATATACATGGATACATGCCCAGCTTACCTGGAACACCACTCTAGATTTCTCTAGTAGGTAAGTTCTCATATTGGCACCAATGATTCGGTATCTCTTATCAAAACCAATTTCAATATACTTCCCAAAACGGCTGCTATTATCATTCCTGGTTGTTTTAGCATTTCCAATTGACTAAGAAACAAGGGAGAAAATAAGATTTTAGAAGTGTAATTCATGACATGACATTTACAAAGTTTGCTTAGGAAGAGAAAGGACAGAGTAGAACATAACTCTTTAAAACTGATTCTTTTAAGAACAGAACCAGTTTTGCACTTGTAGGCACTGGTGCATGCTTTTCCCACTGTACAACTACACAGTTGTTATATATATAACATACATATATAAATAGTCCTTATTAGTCTTATTATTCTCACAATGATGGATTTCAGAAACAGCAAACTCAAACCCAGCAGCTGGGGGATTTTCATACACCATTTAGGTCATCTAAACATACCGATACATGCCAGCAAGGAAAGAGAATGCATTGGGCTGGGGGCTGCCAAAGTACAAGCCTTGCTAATTAACATCAAGATTTTGATTGCTTTGAAAAAAAATGTTTTATGTAAATGAAAGGGTTAAGACAAATTAATATTTTCTTTGATGTGCTGCTTTAGTGTTTAGGATCTCTTTAGAAATTAGAAGTTTCTGGACTAAGGCTTGGCTCAAGTTGCAGGGCTCCTACCTAGCAAGCATAAGGCTCTGAGCTCAAACTCAGTACTACAAAATAAAATAAAAATAAAAAGGTAATAAAAGAAACTCGAAGTTTCTATCATCTTCTCCTATAGCAATAAGATTACTGCTTATAGTATTACCTGCTCAATTTACATATCATTTTTAGAAACCAGAGGAAGCAAAATTTGGCTTTGGTTTTTGATGGTTGTATCTAACTTGCAAAACATTTGCTACAGAATGCAGAGTGTAACTTTATGCTAATTTTTTTATATAACCTTAAAAATTAAAGTGGCATACATCTATCTGCTTTTGATTTAGGTGACATACTATAAAATTTTCTTTTAAGGAAGGTATTCACATAATACATATATTAAATGCTAAATAAGCTTACTTCATTTCACAAAATTAACATCTTTCACTTACACAAAGCCTGTGTTAGGATCAGTATATAAAAACCATGGCAAAGAGAAAGACTGACAAGAGTAGGGAGCATTAAAAGAGTGGAGCAAGTATCACGGTGCAAACAGCAGCAACACACCCGCAAGAGTCAACACATGAGATCCTCTGATCAAAGAAAATGTACTTTGACTTTCTGAAATAAAGGGTAGTAATCATCATATTATTTTGGCAGTAAAGATACTGTTAAAATTTAGGTTAACATTTTTAATACTTTTCTAGAAAAAGTAAGAATGACTTGAAGCTATCTTATAGCAACATGACAGTGATCTAATTTAGCCTTAGATACAGACATTTACTCAAATATTATCTTTCTGGATGTTATAGAAATCCCCACTATTCCATATATTTCCTCTATTTATATTATATTTAAAAAAGGTGATTCCTTATAAGTACAGAATTTTCTCTTGACACAATACATTGTGAAAAGGAAACATTAAAAAGTTACATGCTGTAGAAGCAGCAGCAGCAATGGCATTATGGAGTGCTGACCAGGCACTTCCCTAAGCACTTTTCTGCGTGTAACTAAGGAAACTGGGGAAAGTGGTCCACAATTTTTTCTTCCTTCTGCAACTCTTGCTCTAACTTTCATATCTCATCTCTTCTCCATCTTCTCAGACTGGGAGTCAGAGTGGCCAACTTGCCTAAACAATGTTACCTACTGTAAGGGGGGTAGGGTAGGGTTAAAGCAGACATTTTTCATCTTTGAGTAAATATATTTAAACATAGAACATGGAATGGCAGAAGGAGCAAATGAAAGAAGTCTGAATACCTACCTGCCTCTTAGATGAGGCCATTTAACCTCTGAGGGGCATTAGTATCCCAGGTATAAAATGACTACAAAGACCTGTAGAGGCCTTTTCCAAGTAATCACAAAGGATTCTAAGCCGTGAATCTGATATGGAAAGAAGGTTCCCTACATAAACAGTATCTTTTGTTCATACCCTCTAACTACTCCCTCTGCCTTGAGTTCTGTATTCACAAGAGACTAATGCTATTTTCATTTTATCCAGCAAGAAATTGGTAAAAGAGAAATCCTGACTTTACTATTTGTTTTAGTGAAATGCTGCATGAGTGACTCTTTACTAAATAGAAATGAAAACCTCCAGTTGTGGTTATTGAAGATAAAAAAAGAACTATTAAGATCCAGTGTGTGCCAAGAACCCTCCCTATCCCCATCCTAAAATGAAAAGGAAAACGTGATAAAGTAGAGAAAAAAGAACCATTTCTCTACATGTCATAATACGCAAATGTGCAAATCCCTTCAGCCATTGGGTGGTGACACTAACCACATAGGATGCCCGTCATCAAACGAGGAATTTCAGCAGAAATGCTGAGACCTGGGCATACCTTTCTCAACAGGAAAGGGCTCTAACATAGAGACATTGTCATAAAGCACATTTAAACCCACAAGATTTCTGCATCCTCAAGACTTAACCTATCCTTTCTTACATTCTTTAGCCCCATATCCATTTAGTCTTCCAAATTCAGAGGCTTTCTTTTTAACTGTTGAAAATTAACAAACTTTTTTTAGGGAGGAGGGGAGGTGCCTCCCCTGGGCCTTGTACATGCTAGGCGAGTGCTCTACCCAAGTTCATCTCCCAAAAGTTCAATTTTTTCATAATCCAAAAAACTATAGATTCACTAAATGGTAATACAGAAAAAAGTAGCTGACCATTAGGAATCCCTTCATCTTTTTTTGTTCATCCAGCAAGAGGGCAAATTCTTTATAGCTGTATATTAAAAAGCAGTATATGTGTTCATTCCAAAATTTTAATACAAAATTTTAATTCAAACCTGTGTTGTGGAAAGAACAACATAGCTGGTCTTTGAGAGAGGCCATAAAACAGTTCATTTGTCTTTTGGCACATTCTAGAAGGTTCATTTTGGACTTAAGTTATCCCCAAGACAATCTTAAACTCTAGTTTTAAATAGAAGACATGGGATTTCCTAAAGCTATCACAATTGAGACTTTAGGATAATGTAACATTAGAGTGGCCTGGCATATTGTCAAATACCAGGAATTTGTTGTCATGCAAAAAGTAGTCAAATCAAAGAAAGTCCTGATGTTTTCTGACCCAAAATAAAAAAAATGGCTCCACAAATTCTATTTCTCAATATTAATACTAGCGGTATCCACCACTATACCCATGGCTGAATTATTTCAAAACCTTAATTTGCTTAAAATATTTACTACTCTCTTTTAGCACAAGTATTTGTTCTTCCTGTCCATGCTATTTCAGAAAATGTTTCTAGTTTTCTCTTTGCAGCATGGCTAGCATTGGAGGCCTCTCAACTTGCACAGAATATCTTGTCTTTGGATTCCAACAGCAAAAGTCCTGCTGCTGCAGAGGGCAGCTCTGCAGGCAAGAGGTCACAGCATTCTGTTTTGAGGCTTCACACACAGCACTGCACACCAGGCAAAATTACCTCTGGACAGATTATTGCAAACACCACTTGCACCCAGGTACACCAGGCCAATTTTAACTTCATCTGTGTGTAGCTGACAAATAACGGTTGGCAAAGGAAAAAGACAGAAATAAAAACATACCCATTTGAATTTTTAACAAGAACAGTTTGTTTCTGCATGTCCAAACTAATTTCTATTTAATAAAACTTATTTTTCCTTCCTTCCTTCCTCCCTTTCTTCATCATCTTCTTTTTTTTTTTTTCAATACTGGGGATTGAACCCAGGGTCTTGTGCATGCTAGGCAAATGCTCAACCACTTGAGCCATACCCCTGGGTCCTATTGTTTGCATTTTGTTTTTGAGATAGGTCTTAATAACTTGCCTTGGCTGGTCTTGAACTCACAATCCTCCTACCTTGGCCTCTCAGAGTAGCATGCACATCTCACCTGGATTATAGGCATACACCATCACACCTGGATTTTCCTTTGTCTTCTTATAAAACTACAACTTTCCTAAAGTCATATTAATAAACAAATAGTTGTCTAGCTACAAATCTAAAAATATCAATTCTCAAAAAACCAATTCTATTTTCTTTGGCATAGACATTTCTATTTTATATATGTACTTGATTTTTGAGAGTTCATCATCTTTTCATACTTCTTCCTCTCTCGAGAACTTATAATTATTGAATTTCTTGGCTAAATGTAATATACTTGATAAAAATGAAAAATAAAAATGTTTATGAGATCATAGTTCAAGTTTTTAATTCAAATCTGGGAAAAACTCTTTACAGCTAAATAGTTGGACTCAGCATAGAAAAATGAACTATGAAGCCAGACATTATGACACACACCTGTGATGTTAGCATTTGGGAAGCTGAGGCAGGAGGATTGCAAGTTCAAGTCCAGTCTAGGCTACACAGTAAAACCCTGTCTCAAAAAAAAAGGAGAAAAGAAAAGAAATAAAAGAAAAATAGAACTCATTATTAGCAGTAGCAAATCCTATGTTGTTGGAAGAAGCATAAATAAGAACTTAACTAGGGGAAATGATCAACTTGTATTTCTGGTACAAGAAACAGGAAGTATGAGTCAACTAATTAGTCAACTAATTACAAGAAAGAAACTTTGGAAAATGGAAGTATTGTTGCCTGCTACTATAGGCAACAATTCTGTTGGTAGGTTTAGAATGCAGCATTAGAAATTAAAGCGGATTTCTCTATAACAGCTTTATGCAAAATAAATTTTCAGTTTTCCTCGATCTCCTACTAACATGTAGAAAAGTATTTTCTTAATTTTAGTGCTTGGGAGTCCCACACTTTCTGGCATGCACTGTAATAATCAATTTTTTAGCATGTTTCTTTTCTTTTTCAGCATACAAGGATTTGAACTCACAGCCTCACACTAGCTAGGCAGGCTACTACCTGAGCCATGCCCCAACCCTTTAAGGATGTTTCTTAATAACAGAATACAAGATGAAGGCCAAGGAGGCTGCTCTCTTACCTCCATGATGGGGTTGGAGGCCAAGACCTTTTCCTCAACATTGGCCTCACTGGCAGAGCCACTTACAGTTGCAAAGTATCTCATGGCATACTTAGCTGAGACGGTTTTTCCTGCCCCGGACTCTCCACTCACAATGATGGACTGATTTCGTTCATCTCTGTAAAACAAAGGAGAGTAACTGCCAGTGCTGCCTGCTTCTGAACGTGATTAACAGTATTTCCACTCTGTCATCACTGATGAGGCATGGGAGTTTCTGCTGGTTCATACTCATGGCAGTATGGAAAGAAGCATAGACTGATATTTCCTGTAAGTGAGAACAACCACTTACAAACTAAAATAAACAGAGAAGACATATGCCATTAAGTTAGACAGCACCACATCCAAAGATGGCTCACAAGAGAAAGGAGATATCCGTTGGAGCCACAGCAAAGGAATTTAGACAAAAATCCCATTTAATTAAAATTACAAAACCATCTAAAATATTTCAAATTGTCTATTAACTAACAATCTATGACACAGTGTCTCCCACAAACTCCTGCTCATAATAAAACAACTTCATTACCAAAGAAGAAATAATTTATTTGCTGGCTTTTGCATTCACATACATCAAGCCACATGCATGTCTGCAGATGCAATGATGAATAACATTACTATTAATATAGCCAACGAGCTCATCTAGTGTTAAAGATCAGCTAATTTTAGAGCTCAGACTATCTCATAATTACATCAGTAATTAATTCACACAACAACCTAAAAATTCTAAGGATGAACTTGTTCAGACTATCTTTGATATGAGAGCCTATGTCTTCTTTATCTCCAACATCCAGAATCTTGTCCAAATCTGACACATCACAAAAGCTCAGACAATGTGTCTTGATTATAAGTGAACAGAACGTCAATGAGCAACCTAGCCTAGCCTTGGCTACAATTTCTATGATAGAAGCAGAGAACTTTGACTTACTAGGATGAAGGTAGTAGTTGCCTTTAATCCATCAAAATAGCTGAATAAGTACATGAAAGTGGAATTATTTGTGTTCTAATTTATAAAGAGATGAGATGATTTCAAAGGTTTGTAGTGGAACTATCCTTTAAAGTCATAAGGTAGGGATTCAGTTCTATTATAGAAGACCTTCTTACCTTTTAAAAGATATTTATTTGCCCAAGAAATATTTGTCACACACCTACTACAGATTCAAATTAGATAAGCCATTATCTGTGTCCTCGTGTGGTTGATGCTCTAGTGGGAAAGACAGGTCAGAAATGCCAGATGATAATGCAGGAGATGGGTCAGTGGAAGGAGGAAGAGGGTATCAGGGAAGGCTCTCTGAAATTGATACCTGAGCAAGGACCAGAAAGAGGACTAGGAGAGAGTAAGCAGGCATGGGGAACTTAGGAAAGGAACATTTCAGGCAAAAGACATGACACAACTGAAGGTCAGAATCATAAGAAGTTAGAAAAGAACAGATAATTCAGTTTTGCTGGAAAATGGAGAAATGACAGTTTGCAAAGACCAAAGTGGCCTTACATGAGATGTTAAGAAATTTGAACTTTGCTTGAAGATCATGGGATGCCATTGCGGGTCTTTACACAGAAGAACATCATCTGGTTAGTAAAATTACTCTGGCAGTAATTTGGAGTATGGGTAGCAGAGGGCCTAGATAAAAAATAATGAAAATCTGAACAAAGGCTGTGTCAGCACTGAGAAAGGCAGATAGCCTTGACAGACACCAAAGTGGTAGAATCAACCACTGAGTAATAAAGTTTCAAGGGAGACATTCAAGACTTTAAGGTTGTTTTTTCCTTGATAAATAAGGGTTGCTTCCTTATTTTACAGACTTTGAAAAATATACCCAGCTCAGACATGATGAGGTATATTCACATCATACTATAAGGCCCAGATGGCAGCCTGTTTCTAACTATGACTCTCACACTTTGGGAAAAATCAGGAGGTTCTGGTCACACAAAGGAATGGGTAATTCTTTTTTTTTTTTTCTGGAACTAGAGTTTGAGCTCAGGGCTTTGCACTTGCAAAGCAGGCACTCTATCACTTGAGGACAAGCTTGTACATAGTCCCTATATTTACAAAACCCAAGAGCTTCATATTTACCATCTCATCACTTTATTTGAATTTCTAGACTGAACTCAATATACTCATTGCTTCTGTTCACTCATATCTTATTTCAAAATAAATCACTGTAGTAAGAAGTTAGGGATTGGTGACATATACCCGTAATCCCAGCACTTGGGAGGCTGAGGCAGGAATATCAAAAGTTCAAGGCAAGCCTAGGCTACATAGTGAGACCTTGTATAAATAAATAAATAAGAAATAAAATATATGCAGAATTAATCTTTTTCAATACATTAGTCAAGAGTTAATATCAACAGTCTGGATTTCCTTCCATGACACAATCAGAAAAACAAGCCCTTCCTAATTCCAGTATGATTAATTTTGTCACTACACCCCATGTGGCAGTAACTTGACAAAATTCTCCCAGCACCCCATCCAATAGCAAATAGGGTAAAGAGTCACATGAAAAGAAAATCCTGATGGAAACTGCTATCCTAAACTGCACTGCCTTTGGAAAGCTATTGCAAGTACTAATGACAAAAATGTATCAAAAATTCCAAAAATTCATATATAATAGCCCTTTCCTATGATATGTGGAGTGGAGAGAGAAAAAAAATTAAAGGCAATAAAATCAAGATGAATCACAGGCATTTGTACAGACACATACACACAATGATGTGAAGCATGCGCCAAAGACACATTCTCTTTTCTAGGATTGACAGATCCTAGACCCATATGATCAGCAGTTTTTAAGGGACCTTTATTGTTTCTTGTATTTCCCTGACTTAAGTTAGCCGAGAGGCTTCACATTTTTCCCAGACTTAGTAGAGCATTTCAACACATAAGTGAGTTCTTCCCTTTCATTATATAAACCTTACTGTATCCAGATAATAGTCTGCTATGGTTTGGATAAGTCTCCTTCAAAGGCCCCTGCATTGAAGGCTTGGTCCCCAGTCTGTGGTGCTATCAGGAGGTGGTGGGCTTCCCAGGTACTGTGAGATGACCAATTTCCTCCACTATGTGCTCTTGCCACAGTGAATACTCTTGCCTTACCACCAGACCAAAAACAATAAGGCCAATCAAGCACAGACTGAAACCTCTGAACTGTGAGCCAAAATAAATTTTACCTCTTTTAAGTTGATTACCTCAGATGTTTTGGAAGTATCTCAGACAGTGATGGAAAGCTAACACATAATTCTAGCTCTGTTGTTTACAAGGTTTATGGTTTTGAGCGATTGCATGACCTCTCTGGGTCATGGTTTTCTCATCTTTAAGATTAAATGACATGTAAGGTCCCCTCAGATTCTAAAGAACTATGATCGAAAAGTCAAATTGACTTTGTGCTTGGTTTTTCAGATGTTGGGTTGGTCATAGCCTACACTCTGAGCTTCAGAAAAATTTTGGGACCAAGAACAATTGGAACAAAGAGGCCTACAAATACTCAGGTGGTCACGAATGGCCATCAATGAGATGGGCAACATTTTCCCTCTGGAGGGCCTCTGAGTCAAAGGTGGCGAAAATCAATAAGGGGCTATAAAGAGAAAAATGTAAAATAATTGTTTGTACTCTGTGTGTGTGTTAGTGTGTGTGTGTGTGTGTGTGTGTGTGTGTGTGTGTGTGTGTTGCTGGAGATTGAACCCATGTGTGCCACTGAGGTATATTCCCAGCCCCATTGCTTGCTTTTAGATTAAGGGAACAGAAATATTTCAGTAAAATCAGTGCAATGACATTTAAAAAATATATTTCAGTTCTATGTAGTCATAGAAAGAAATGTCAAAAAGAAAGAATAAGACAGAAGACAGGAGTGAGAGCACCAAGTAGAAATACAGAAGGGACAAGGGGGGTACACAAGAAAGGAATAAAGGAAAAAATAAGAAGAGCTTGATAGAAGAGGAGAATGACAAAAATATCAGGGATAAAACACTTTATAGTTTGAGGATAAATATCACATTCCACCCTTCTCTACTCATTTATGATAGGGGCTTTCTACTTTTGAAAGATACCTGTCATTTGAAGAGTCTAATAAAACCAAATTAAGAAACAGAAACCTTTTTTTCTTGCTCCCTTGTTGGAGTGAGCTTTCTCTAGCTCCTGGTTACTACTGAACCTAACTGGGGCTAACTGGGTAGTGACTGGAGATGCAGAAAAGACACAGGATAGACAGACAGACAGACAGAAAGTTGGAGCCAGGTGTGTTGGGGACTCAGATGGAAACGCACAACCTTCATTGCTTCTTTTCTCTTATTCTCTTCATTTTACTCTGCTTCTTTTCTCTATCTCTATTCTTTAAGGTCTTACTCCTTTACGATTCTTTAAAACCTTGCTTCTAAAGTCTTTCCTTAAAACCTTGCTTTTAAAGTCTTCTTTTCCGTTCTTTTAAGTCTCTTTCCTTAGACTCACACATTTTTTCTTGGCTGTTCTTTAGCATAATTTCTCTTAAAGTCTTTGCCCCCAGACTTGCGCTGTCCCATGATCTTTTTAGTTTTTCTTTAGCTTAGCTTTTTTAAAGCCTATGTATAAAGTTCCTGGTGCAGACTTTCTATCAACCTCTCTTTAGCAATTCTCCTTTAGCAATTCTTTTCCCTTCAGCAATCTCCCTCCAGCACTTTTCCTTCAGCAATTAGTTCACCCTTCAGCGTTCTTTTTCCCTTCAGCAATCCTTTCCCCTTCCAAAAACCTCCCACATCAAAAAGTTAAAAGCCCCAAAGCCAAAAGCAAAAGCCTCAAAGTAAAAGCCCCCAAAGCAAAAAGCCTCGTGTTCTCCTTCAGTGAGTCTTTTATATCCTGTGGTAAACAGGGTGGAGCAGCGGTTCTTGGGGAGCGGCGTGACATTGTAACAGGAGAAATCTGCATTCCTTCTTCTCTGAACATAAACAACTTAGGCGAAGCATCTGTTCTGTATTTTCCTCTTCTGTGGACGGGGCTGTGCCAATCTCAGCCTACAGATTAACATTTTAGAAAAAGCAACAGAGCTGCATCTCGCCTTGCTTATGTCCAGCTCTCATAGGCTTCTCATCATCCACTTTCCACAATCCACATTCCCCATCAAGGCCAAGTCAGTCTGGAGCATCCTCTGGATTTACAAA